GGCATTCAAATATTTCAGTCTGACGAATCACAAAAGAGCAATGGTGACTGTGCTGCGTTACCCCGAGAGTGGATGTAGATCACTGAAACACCCAAAGGTAGCAGCACTGCACGGATCCGTATCCAGTGTCTTTGTAATGTGGGTTGAAGAGAAAAAATCCCCGAAACCGGGACAAAAGCATTGCCAGACAGGATTTTACGGGAAATTTTAGTACCAACCTACACCAAAGTAAAGCTCGCATTCTAAGCTGGCAGGCTGGCAACGATTATAACGTCTCCGTCTGAGGCTAAGCTCACACTGACTCAATATATTTCTGTTGGTCTGGTGCCGACTTTTGTCGGCGCGCGCCACCTGGGAGCGCTGGCGACGCCGACTAAAGTCGGCACGCGCAGTCAACGTGTTCATATGATCTAGGAGATGCTAGGTGCTATAAACAACACTACTCATAACTTTTGTCTCTTATGATGCCTATGTTGCTTTGCAACTGTGTTTTAGTTTGTGCATACTAATGTTCAATGTTTTGTTTCAACAGTGTAACCTAGTTGGTTCTTATAGACAAATTTAGGATTGTGAGGTTGAATTTTCTTTGTTAGAGTCCATTGGTTAATAGTGCAGTGTAACGCAAAACCATTGCAGAGTTGTTAATGTTGCCACGAGACATTCTTCAGTACTATCCATTCTTAATCTGTACAGGATCCCCTATTTACTCCTCACTTTTTCTAAACAATTTGTGCATCCAAAAAAGATAATCAGTTTAGCAATTTTGATTTTGGGGTGAAACAGGACAAAATGGTTATTATTGTTGTCAAATTGAATGTTGTTGTTGTTTTTATATCGATTTTGCTGTTGCCGGAGCGAAATTTACCTTCCACCACATCGTTTGTTTTTTTACAGAGGAGAGCAGCGAGGGTTGCCCTCCATCACTCTACAACATCGTTAGTTGTCGTTGCTGTCATGTCTGATGTTGTTGTTGTCAGATCTAATGTAGTTGTTGTTGTTGCAGAGGAGAACAACGAGGGTTGCCCTCCGCCACTCTACAACATTGTTGTTTGTCATTGCTATCATGTCTGATGTTGTTGTTGTCATATCTAATGTAGTTGTTGTTGTTGCAGAGGAGAACAACGAGGGTTGCCCTCCGTCACTCTACAACATTGTTGTTTGTTGTTGTTGTCATATCTAATGTAGTTGTTGTTGTTGTTGCTGCAGAGGAGAGCAACGAGGGTTGCCTTCCATCAGTCTACAACATCGTTGTTTGTCATTGCTGTCATCGTCATGTCTGATGTTGTCTTTGTCATATCTAATGTAGTTGTTGTTGTTGTTGCAGAGGAGAGCAGCGAGGGTTGCCCTCCGCCACTCTACAACATTGTTGTTTGTCATTGCTGTCATGTCTGATATTGTCTTTGTCATATCTAATGTAGTTGTTGTTGTTGTTGTTGCAGAGGAGAGCAGCGAGGGTTGCCCTCCGCCACTCTACAACATTGCTGCTAAGGCTGTGATCAGGAAACTCTACACACCCACGAGTATTTATTTTAGTATAACCTCCACAGTCACGGGAGATCTTTCACTCAACTATACTTTCTCTCTCTCTCTATCTCTCATTAAGTGCCACATTTTTTAAAGTAACGAAACAAAATGTTTTTAAATATTAAAGTATAAACTCGAGAAGAAATAAATGTTCCTGTACAGCATAAAAGAATCAAAGTTTACTCGATCGGAAGAGAGTGACATGACGTGCGAGTGGACTACGGTTTTATTGTAGGAGGTAAAACGAATGTGATACAATCCACGTTTTTTTATAGTTATACCGCGGTTACTTTAGTGATATACTCCTCTCTCGCAGGTATTCAGTTTCTCAAAGACCACTGTTTTGTATATTTTATCCGTTTGACCGTACCCAGCAACAAGAGTGTGTCCGCTTGCTTCGTCACTTCTGTTGAGGCCTAATCGGATATCCTACTTCTCGTTGATATTAGTATCAGTGTTGTCCTCTTATTTATTTCGGCACAGTCAAGTCTTAGAGTTTCTGTTGCTAGCACCTAGCCCTAGACACAACTCTTGGGGGCTGGACAATCAGTCTTCAATACGACACAGTCGCTCACTTTCTAATGTTACGTTACAAACTTTATTTATTATTCGTTTTTGTGATATTTTAGTGAAGAAAGTATGAATTATTGTTATTTAAGTCTCACCTATTAATACTTATATTATAACCGTATTGTACATGTACCTTGTTATATTGTTAGGGTCGAGATTAGTGTAAGATGTAATTTGTTCATATGCAAGGAGAATACTCTTGTAATAAATAAATATTACTACGAATTACTACAAGCGATTTATTATTGACTCGATTATAGTTACTTTTATTTTTATATCGTATAAGTCGGAGTCGTGGACGTGGACAGTGATTCTCCTTGTGGATATGTACGACACAAGTGATCTGATAAAGCAAGTAGTTAATAAACAAATTATGTGAATTATTATTTATATTGTGTATGTTATTTTGTGATACCGAAATCCCCTTTCCTTCATCTGCCTACAAGGGGATCCTTGATTTTGTATTCAAATAGAGAAGAGTTGTATATACAGAAAAATAAAATTTATTTAACCCCAACACTTAAATGTAAACTACTTTTGATTTATTACTTTCTGAACCTGGAGAATGTTATTTTTATGATAAAGAACCTATGGAAGGATACCAAATTCAAGCTATTTGTGCCAGGTATTTAAAGTATGTTGTTTCACATTTGGTGACTGAACACCAAAGTAAGCAGACAAGTTTGACAACCTTACCAAGCCTTGACAACTGCTATGAAAATCAGTAAATAAATGTTATAGTGGTAAAATTATTGTAAAAAATTGACTGGGTAGCTACCAATTAGTAAGCATTGACTAAGTCGTAGTAGTATTCCAACTAGTTGTGTAAGTGGAAAGTGGCTTGAACAAGACTCAGTAAAGAACAACAAAATGTTAAGTATGGGCTTCACAACTCCTCGTCTGTTTTCCAAAACTGTAATGATCAAGCAAAAGTGGGAGCCGAGCAGTTCAAATGTCTTGCCTTAACATCTAGCCATCTAGGCGAGGCTGTTGTTTCAACCCAAGATACTAAGGTAGGTGTGAATTTGAGAGACCTTTTAAGTCACTAGAGAGGCGGACTATGGGAACCAACTAACAATAATGGTACTGATTATGCATCAGACATGCAGAACATCTTGAATTTAAGATTTCAGTAACAAGCAAATCAGCAACCAAAATATATGAGCAATTAATTTCTTTGTATATTATGAGTTCATCATCAGCCCTAGCTTCGCTAAATACATGGTTGAACCAATTTTTGGACATTGCTTAGTTAATTGTTAACCAACCATGTAAGGTACACAAAAAATCATACATACTTGTTAACTTATCATTTCTGAAAAAGGAGATAGGAATTTGATTTATTTGAGGAATATCCAGTATCCAGAAACTACCTAACTTAGTATATGTTCCTTACACAGGCCTAAGTCCATAACAGGCTGTTGTTAAACAAGGTGTCTCGTATCTCTTTACTGAACTTTTAAGGTATCATTACTGGACAAAAAAGGCAACCCAAAGTATCAAATTAAAATTTACTTAATTTACAAATCTCAAAAAGAAAATAAGGGAGACAACTCATTTTTAAGAAACTAAGTGTTCAACAGTATTTTGCTCATTGGATAGCCAGCAATTAAAACAGCTGAGTTTTAGCTACTGTAACTAGCAATGTTGTTACCCAATGACCACTGTGTGTCAAACATATTTTTGATTGTTACTATTATTAAATTGGACTTTACCAACGTTTCTCGTGTTTAAAACTGGACATATCTGGAGGTAGAACAAACTCCTCCCATTATCAAGTGAAAAATACTAAAAATAAGAATTAGTATTTTTCACTCGATATTGGGAGGAGTTAATCCACCTCCAGAAACGTATATTTCTAAACACAAGACACAATTAAAATGCCCAATTTAAGGGTACCTCAGCTCGGATTTATCACATTGTTGCTTAACGGCAATGTTCCTTACCATTGCACTGACTGAACAGCACCATGAGGAGCGCTTGCAAGCCTTTTGAATCTGGGTGATTACATTGTTATCCTTAAACCAAAAGGTTTAAAAAAAGTAAACTTACTGCAGATTCTTAAGAATCTACTGCACGTCTCCAGTGTTTTATTTTTTCTCTAAAATTTATTTTATGCGTCAAAATGTATGATAAAATCGTGTATTTTAACATTTTTACTAACCTTTTGGCATAACATTTTTTGAAAATATCAACATTTTGAAACGCGCAAGACCTACAATATTATTTTTTTTATATGACACCAAGACCTTTTTAATAGGTATACAATTAATTATTGGTGCTACAAATAGCATGAACCAAAACCCTTACATCTGCGCATGCCAAACAGGTGCAGATAACCCTTACCCTTAATAATATGTAATACCATTTCAGAACCAAACATCATTGTGAAAAAAAAAACTCTGCATATTTTTTATACTGTACACAGTATCTTAAAATGGATTTCTGTTTTCTCCAATATTTATGATCCGATTTTCTAATATTTGTTAATGGCAGGATCGTAGTAAATTGTCCAATTCAAAATTCAGTGCTGTAGTTTTGTTTACCAATGCAGTTTTTTTATGTTATTTAAGTTTTAAAACTTTAAATTACCATCATTTGGAAATTGAACATTTAAAACAATAATATTTTGCACTTAGCATAGGTCTTTGCATTGCTAATCATGTATCAAATTTCAGTTCACTACAAAAATCTGTAATCAAATAAAAATAGTTTTGCAAAAAACACAAAATGGCAAATGTAACCTGTACAGGTTGTTAAGTTTTGCAAATTTTGAACGTGATATTTTACTTGTCTATGGTCCAGAAATAATACCTTAAAAGGTCAGTAGAGAGTTCGGGATCACCCTGTATATACCACTGTACAATACAAATATAATTTAAATAAAAGGAGTACATTGATTTTTTTAACATGACAATGTATGGTTACAAATTTAATACCATTGAATATACACAGCTTAATCTGATAATTACACATGATGGTGAAATATGAAATCTTGTGATACTGTACTTGGCTTTATTTTTCATCGGAATCACTGAAAAATAAATTAACAATTTAGCTTACTATTGTTATTGTGACTAAAAAGCAGTACACATTACTCTTTATTTACACCGCAATAGTGGATGATTGCTGCCTTCCTAATTTATTAATGAAATAGATAGTTAAGGTCAGGATAGCCAGATTTAAAAAAGTGAATAGATGGGTGTTAATTCAAAGATTTAAAGGGTGCGCTCTACCTCAGCTCGGTTTTATCAGTACAATGTTGCTTTACGCCAATGTTCCTATAGGCGAAACCCCAACCACTGAACATTGTTAGTTCTTATCAAAGTACTTATCAAATTATGTGAATGGTTGTGGTTGATAAGTAATCCTTTCTATGGCATCCATGAATTTCTAAAAACAAAAGTTGATATTGAATTTTGATGTGTATCTACATGATCCATATTCTCTAGATATGTTGTATTTTAATTAACTAAGTATTTTGTAAAACTTTGTATTTTATTTGTTAATTTGGAATATTTTGTATGTGTTTTGACTATGTCTATTCCTTTTTACAAAGAAAGGTCAATGGCAATAAAACTCTTGATTCTTGATTGCACCATTGCACTGAACAGCACCATGAGGAGCGCTTGCAAGCCTTTTGAATCTGTTGATTACATTGATATCCTTAAACTTTTTAGTAAACTTACTGCAGATTCTTGTTTTTAAGAATCTACTGGACGTCTTTTGTGTTTTATTTTTTCTCTAAAATTTATTTTATGCGTCAAAATTGTCAAAATGTATGATAAAACCGCATGTTTTAACATTTTTACCAACCTTTTAGCGTAATATTTTTTGAAGATATCAACATTTTGAAACGCGCAAGACCTACAATATTATTTTAAGAAAATATGACACCAAGATCATTTAAATCGGTATACAATTGGTGCTACAAACAGTAAGAACCAAATGTTACTGTGACTGAAAGCAGTACACATCACTCTTAAGGTATACAGCAACAGTGGAGATATTTAAGGTCAGGATAGCCAGATTTAAAAAAAAGTGAAAATATGGGTATTAATATCAAAGATTTAAAAACACTAGCAAATGATTAATGTTATACAACAGCTTAACTATGCCACCATTGGTATCTCAGAAACTTATGCTATTAGATGTAGATAAAACCTTATTAAATGGAGAACTTAAACTATTTTATCGCAAATCGCATGACATTAAAAAATATGAACCCCCTTTATCACTATCAAAATCCAAACGGTGTGGACAAGAACTGGAAAAAAATTGGCCAATATATGGTGGCTGGCTTAAAAATTTCTTATGGAACAGCTTGTATTGTTTTAAAATGTAAATGTTATTTTAAAATGTTTTTATCCATCATATTTGTCTGAACCTACTTGAGACAGCATGTTAGACTTTGCCCTGGTTTAAGAAACACAGAAACTTTACAATACAGAAAAGTTTGGATATTTCACTGCCCCTGACAATATTTTCAACCAAAGAAGATTTGAGTTGGAAATATAGATGTCTGATGTCAAATGCCAGCGTGGACTCTTTCCTATTTAGCTACCAGTAAGTCTTGTTATCTAATTAACTTACTTTTTCTTCTCATTTTACTGCTGAAAGAAGAGCATCCATCCACCGCCCATACCAGTGTTTTGGTTTCTCTTTAGCACCAGATTTCATGTCAACATTGTCCTCATCCTTCCAAGAATTTTGTCTTTCACCAATCTCACTGTCACTAATCAACAATTAAATTAGCATCATATTTTATCTAACTTGTATAAATAACACCTCACAACAATAATTTTCATATCAAAACTACTGTGAGTTCTACTAAATTTTATGAAGTTCTAGTAAAAGAACGTAGTTGTGCCATACAGAGTGTGTGTGTGCTGGTGTAAATTCCATTTTCTGCCTTAGTTTTTTTTTTTTAAGATGCAATGGTGACTTAAGCATCTTGCAGGAGTCAATAATTTTGCATTGCCGTTGACCGTCAGATGCCAGGCAAAACATTGGTTGTCCGAGCGCCGATCAGCAAAAACAAGCGTTCTCACGTTCAAACATATTAATAATGCACCGTAAGGTTGATTACAGAGCAGAAAATTGTATGTGATTCTTAAATATATTTTCTATGTGAATTGCTTTTTGGGTATTTTAAACTTATTTCTTTTAGAGGTTGAAAAAATCACAGTTTAAGTCAATATATTTATGTAGGTTGACAAAATAATAACAATCAAAATTTAAAAAGTATATCACAAATCAGATCCCAGGTTTAAAATAAGATATTTTTCAACTTTTTATCTTAAACAATGCCGTAATATGCTTCAACCATATTAGGTCCTGCCGACTCTTAAGGCATCTGTGCAGAGGTGGGTCAGTATTGCTTAACCTTTGGTTAGAGAAAAATTGTCACGCCCCCTAGAACGGGCAAAAGGGTCCAAAGTCGGAACTGTCCCAACAGAATCAGGAAGGTTGGCAACTCTGGGACCTACTTTTTAAATGGTTGAGAGCTGAGTCAATTTATCAACACTTAACTCAACCAACAACAGGATTTGGTATTTTTTAGATCCAACAGTTGTTGATAAGTGTACTCACTAAGGTAAGTGAGAAGGGTACTTACTAGGATAATCACTAGTTGAGTGACTCGTTTGGAAATGAAAACGACAACACCGCACGAAATACAGATGACGTAATTTTGAACCAATCACAGTGCAGCTAACCTCTTGGTCTACTACTCGATCAGCATACATTTCTGATCCTTTTCTCAGCTAATCTAATCTGAATCTGTCATATTTCAAGAAACTGAGGTAAACTGCCAGCTACTCATACTCCATAGAGAGAAGTTATATCTGATTATGGTTATTAGTGATTGCCTAAGTGTGCCTTGTTTAATTAAATTAGAAATAAAATTAATTATGGGAGGCGTCTTTTAGGCTAAACCTCATTACAGGTACACCGTGGGACACCCGTATAATAAATCTTGTCTATTAATATGTTACATGTGACCTTAGTAAAAAATAAGGCTTTTTCATGACCCCCTCCTCATATTAAAAATTAAAACATGTGTCATTGTACATTTAAAACTAATATCTAACTAAAATTGTATTTCTTTATGTTTCAAACTAAGAAATCCCCTTCATAGAAGATTGTTTAGCTTATCTTTGATGTCGTTTTCATGATTTTGGTACCTATGACTTGCATCAATAATATGCGTTCAAAAGGCCACCAGGGAAAATAATATTGTGTGCATGTGTGCTGTGTGTTCTATTTGGTAACTTACCTACTTTTCTTCTAGGTAAGCTATCTGCTATCCTCCTTTTTCTAGAATAACATAATTATAGGCCTACATCTACATAAATTCCAGAGTAAGATGTAAAGTATTGATTTTTTATCAAATAATATCGTTAGGTTTTACTTACCTTCTCTCTATAAACTGTCTCCTGGCCTCTTTACCAGATTTGGCTGATAACACGGATATCATCTTTCTATCCTTGTGCAACTGTCTCATTCTAATCGGAGGTTCCTCACTGCCCCCGGCCAGAGGGTCGTTGTTCAATCCTGCCTGAGAAGGTCTCACTCTACAAGAAGTTGTGCTGCTTTTCTTCAGAGACATCACTTTCACTGATGGCGACAACTTTAAGAATTTCATTGCTTCTTTCGGAATAGGCTTTTCATTTCTTTGGAGTTCGGGAGGTATATTTGACATTTTACTAAAATTTCACTACTGTCACCAGTTTATTGAGTTTTGAGATGTAATTTAAGTCAAACAATGTACTGTTTGTTTGTTTATTACTGATTTTAAAGTTATGTTTGTGTTATCATATGGGTGTTCATCAATAATTATGTTCCAAGTAAAATTTATAAAATCGTTGACTACGGATGTCAAACAATGGATGCTAACCATGGATTAAACCTACCTGGACACAATTATAACTATATATATATATTTTCACCTATAGATTATCATCCTAAATGCATCATAAGACAACATAAATAAAATATTTCTTTATAGTACATGGACTGGACAGTATATGTTTTGACATCTACTATTTATCTATGAATCTGTTCTCAAACCAATATGCTAAATGAAAAAATGAGAGAAAAAATAATATTATCACCATATGTCTAAATCATAATAGACTAATTTTAACACATTGTGTGTCATGAACCAAGAAACATGTCAAAATTAAGTGTATCCAGTCAAAAAACAAAACAATTTAACCGGAAAGGGAGTAGTAATTCCAAAGAAAATAAATCTTTGATTTTAAAGAAAGAAAACACCCAAGTTGAACCCGATTTTACAATCATCACCAAATCACTCCAGTACAATGTTGAAATGGTGGATAACACTTTCATTGTCAGACCTTATACTCAAGAAACTTCCCATCCAAACAAAAGTCAAAGTCAAACTCTTGGAACTTCTAGATCGAAAAAAGGGGATGAAATACCAAAAACCCCTAACAAAACAACAATAAAACCTAACATTAGTGGTGTTAACACGAAACAGGTAAGACTCATTCACTACTACATTTGTGACAGAAAGGTTTTGTCAAAGAAACAGTAATTATTTGTTTGTTAACATATTATTTAAAATACAATATCCAACAAATTTTGCTTCCAAAGGGAAAATGAATGAATCAGATCAATAAATCAATTGAACCTAATTTACTTAATTAGCTTTGTCCTTTTTTATATGAATCTTAATTTAAAACAATCTATATTCTCATCAAAGCTTTCAACTGTGTTAACAAGCTGACATTTTACTCCCTAGGGACTAAAAAAACATTTTTAACATCTTCAGCAAAAACAGCTTTTTTAATACCGTACATGTGTAGCGAGTATAAAGTAGGTAGCTCTTTTCCTGCTTATCTTTTTAGTCCCTAGGGAGTAAAAGTCAGCTGTTGTTAACTCTTAACAACACTCTTATGTCTCTGTTAACTCTTATGTCTAGCTGTTGTTAAACTTTGATTGTAAGCAATCACATGTATCGATTGTTTTAATCGGTTGTAGCTTATTGTTCCATTCTTGTCTATAGTTCGACCATAAATCGTCATATAATGTATACAGCACTGACATAATCATAATAAATACTCGTAGACGAAATTATCGAACATTTTGAAGCCACTGTTTGCATTAGCAAAATTGAAAACAAGTTGGAAGTCATTTTGAGACGTTATCTTTACGTGAAAAGAATTTAGTTTTTCTAACTCAGTTTGCTTAAAATGGTGCAATATAACAAAAAAAATATAGGTAGTCTTTTCCACCCTCACTCTTTTTCTGACCTCAGCTTCACCTCGGTCGTGAGACTTGAGCTTGAGTTCAAAAGAGCCACTTTACGCCCAAGTAATGAAATAAAATATACTATTTTTGAATTTTTAAGAAAATTGGTTGGCTATTACTACAACAATCAATTGATTTGTTGATTTTTCAATAGAAACTGTTCTCCGCTCAAAGTAAAATTGCTACACACACCAGTTTAACTACTTATTCAAGAATAAATAGTCCATTGAACGCCAGCTCTCGGTTGTTGAGCAGGGATCAAAACTGCATTCTGACAAAAAAGAGCAGGGAGTTCTTGACTTTGGTTAATCAAGCAATCAAGGTAAGTTATACATGTTTAACCAAAAAATATAGGTACATTTCTTGCCTTATATTTACAACTTTTTCTTTCATACCTTTTTTCTTTAGAATACATAGGTAGTCCACCATTTGCTAGCTTGCGACCATTTATAAACAAGTAAGCTTACCAGTATTCCCCAAAGTTGTTCTTTTTGGTTTGTGAATATTTTTAATTGAGATTAAAAAATTGATATAAGTCATGTCAAATAACGGTCATGTAATGAGTTCAAGAAGAGATATAATTTAATCTTGTCACTCTCCCATTGGTATCCGTTGTGCTGGTTGGATTGGATCAGTCCAAAAAAATCTATTACCAATGAGCATAACCACTGAAGCGTGGCATTTATTGTATTGTATTTTTAGGCAAAGTATATGAGTGTTAACGTATAAATTTGTTGGACCTTTTCACTGAGAATCATTGGTTAGTATGACACTAATCATAACATTGGTTAACAAATTGAGTAAATTAAGTTATATTTTTATATTCAAACCCAAAGTAAAAAATACTCATCGTACTAATTGCAATATTCACTTATTTAATTTTTACAAATAAAGTTCAGTTCTATTTCAAAATTAATTTTTAATTTTGTTGATTCACCTATCTCTTTAGTTGCAGAAAATATTCTGTATTGGTAATCAAAACAGAAAAGCGTTTCCTACGGTGCGAAGTTCTCTAATGGAAAGAGGATGGGTCGAAAAATGTTGTAAGTCTTAAATAACACTCCTTATATATATTGTAACCAGGGGGGATAGTCATAAATGTCCAGTGTGGGAGCACTCACTATCGTCTAAGAACCACAGGGAAGTATAAGGTACAGAGGAAACATTCAATGGTACCGTACACTTAAGTGGTGTCCAGCACTAGTCCAACATTGCCCCCCTCGACTTCATGTACTAAGGTGGAAGAAGACCCTGTGCTCTGTGGTATAGGAATATCCTCACAGTGCTCGCCGCTCGAGCTCTTCCTTTCTCGTCACAAGTATATTTCTGTCACAACATTATTAGAACTGAAAGCACACGGTCGTCCCATAAGTGTGTTTCCTCTGTACCTTATCACTCTGTGGGCTAACATGTAGGGTTAGGGTTAATATATATATAGGTCTATTGGAAAAAGCAGAGAGGGAGCATTCTCGCTCCACTACACCACTGATAATGTATTATTTTTAAGTTTTGTATCTTTTAAGCTATTTTACTCTAGACTTTGTAGTTCTTGTTTTACTGAATTTTTATTTCCTTTAAGGCTAACACTTCTCTGTGATGGTTTCATTAGAAGAATCTAGCTTGTAAATATTGTTTTGAAATTTGCAATAACCTGATGAGGAATCTAGTAATATTTGCCTTTAGCCACCAGGACTGCATTAAATATGTTTACCTTTTGTAGACACTTTGGCCGTCATCCCTGTTCTTCTGATATTTATTTATTTTAAGCAACATCTCAATGGGCACAAAATTAGATATACGGATGTCTCTCCGTGCCTTTCTTATCTCAACTCTGAAAATTCATGTAATTTGCATTATTATTATTATTAAAGCTGCAGAAGTTATGGCTGAAGAAGAATCAATTAATTCTAAAACCGCAGAAATTACCATACGTCTACTGAAAGAAGCACCAGTTAATTTTGTCTGGGTGATGAATTCCATTGACTTTGGAAGTTTTAGTGAGGATGCAATAATCAGCCGATTCCCTAAAAACAATCATTTTTCTACAAAGGTAAGTAATCGTAAATAAATTTTGATCTCAAGTACATGACATGTTTTGGCTGGGATGATGCCTTTAGGTGTCGAGATCGCTTCGGCAAAAGTCCTCCCTAAACACAACCAAACATAGTTCATAAACTACATAGTAGTTCAATTCAATTTAAAAAATATCGTAAGAATCAGCAGTCGTTAGAGAGTAACATGACTAGGGTTTGGACTTTTGAATGATTTCCTTACAAAAAAACAAAAATACTGTGTGTACATTATAAACAGTTAAACACAAAAAAATAAGAACACATCTTTATTGAGGCTAAAAAGTTTGCATTCTTATTTTCTCAAAATCAAAATCTTCTGTAAATATTAGAAGAATCCTTAACATTTGATAATTGTAAATCAGTTATCAGTTTGCAGGTAGGACTGTGGCATTTTATGGAGGACTTCCATTGGTTTTATCAGCCCAACGTTTCACAGACTATAACACCTAAAACTTTTAGAGTGAGCAATAAAGAAGAGATGGACATATTTATGAAAGAGTTTTGTCTCTCAGCCTGTGTCGGTCTTCTGAAGATAATTGTCAACCAAGTGGCGACAGCAGATTCTGACAGCTTCTTTAGAAATGGGATGGTACGATGTGTATTTTATTCTTTTGTAAGAAAAAGGTATATTGAAAATAGTATATGAGTCGCGGTTGGTCTGGTGGTTGGATATATATTTTGTCCTGAAGACCAGACGGTTCAAATACCACCAATGACCAAAGTATTTTGGTGACAACTTATCAAATAAATAAATGGTATGTATTAACAATCTGACACATGCTTTCTCCTATTAGCTTATCAACAACCTTTATATCACAGGTGAGCATATGGAGAAAAATCACCAATGATGCAATAACTTTTAAGCTGTAATTTTACAGCAATGGTGTTGTATGGTTTTGTTAAGAGTTTATAGGACTGTACTAGCTTGTACCAGGCCCGTTTTTACCCTGTCAGCGCCCTAGGCACAACTAATAGTAGCGCCCCTCTGCAATATATATAACAGGGTGTCCACCGACTGGGAAATCCGGGATTTATGTGTGAGATTTTTTTAACCAGGAATTATGCGTGAATTTTGTATTTCTACCTCGATTTCGATCGCGCATGACAACAGTGACGTTTCCTAAACCACAGGAGACGATAATGCCAACACACGGCCGCGAGGGATGATCAGAATTTTGCCGCGATCGCAGAAGTCGGTGATAATGTCTACACGACTGCGGGGTATGATCATGATTTTGCCAAGATATCGCATGACAATGATGATATCTACAGAGCCGCGAGAGATGATCAGAATATTGCCACGATCGCGGAAGACGATAATGTTCACACTACTGTGGGGAAACAGTCAGAATTTTGCCGCGATCGTGGAAGACGATGATAATCTCCACACGACTGCTGGATATGTCTAAGATTAACATTTTGCGGGAGACAATTACAATGTCTTCACGACCTCGGGTGACGATTGCGATGTCTACACTGCCGCGAGGGATGATCAGAATTCTACCACGATCGCGCAAGACGATGATAATGGGAACACAACCACGGGAAAGGATCACAATTTTGCCTCATTTGCGCGGAAGACTCCACACGACCACGGGAAATGATAACCATTTTCCACAATCGCGGGAGACGATTACTATGTTCACACGACCGCCGGAGACGATATAATGATGTATTCACGGCCGCGAGGGATCATCAGAATTTTACCAGGTTATCAGGTTTTTTTTAATTTTTTTTTTTTAAGATAACGTCCACATGATCGCGGGTAAAAATATTGTCTCATTTGCGGTAGACGACGATAATCTCCTGACGACTGCGGGATTTTGCCGCGATCGTGTCTACACGGTCACGGCAGACAATAATACACGTCCACAGGGATTATCAGAAGTTTACCGCTATCGCATGCAAATACAACCATCATTTTTTTTTATTTTACAAGTTTTTGGCGTCCCCAAAAAAAGGAAATTGCCTCGCGCCCTAGGCCATTTCTCAGCTCCACAACTCGGACCTCATTGGTCCTAATGCCGTCGGCGTCCTGTCACTGCTACCGCCTGGAGAATTGGTTCTCAGTGTTCTAATTTTTTCTACGCCAGATAGTTGGGGACGACGTAAATGTCCCCAAAAAAAGGAAATTGCCTCGCGCCCTAGGCACGTGCCTACCGTGCCTATTCGGTAAATCGGCCCTGGCTTGTACACTTCGCCTGCGATTTTTTTTTTTTTTTTTAACAGAGGCTTACAAGCTACCATTGCATACCATTGTATTGGGATTACATCGCAGCTAGAACAGCTTATTGTGCACCCTCGTTCACAGGTCCTCATTCTCCGTCAAATCCCAGGTCCTTGGTGAACCGTGAGAGCCTCTTGACTATGGTGACCTGTTCTTCCCTTTGATCTCCCATCAATAGGTCAAGGGATCTCATACGCAGACCTTGTAGGGCTGGGCACCTAAATATACCTTCACAGCTTTCACAAGGTCTCTGGCTGGGGCAAGCCGTAGCGAGATTTCCCTGAAAGGACTCAGCTCCTGAACTTGCTTGACCAGCCAATCCTTTGTGGCTGCGTCAGCACAGCCTCCACCTTTCTTCCTGGAGGCTTCATTAGAGTCAGCTTTGGGGGTACCACCCTTGCCCTGCTTTTTCCCTTTGCCTGTGATGGTATAACCATTATATACAGCATAAGAAATAAACAGAGTATTACAATCATTACAATAATTATACGTAGTGGCTTCGTGAACGATCACAAAAGTAAGATATTATCATTATTCATTGTGTCACGCACAATTAAAACAATCATGTTATGATTAAAAATTCTACAGCAATTAACAAAATGAAAACCATTTGTTTAATCTCCCACAAAAAAATCTCACAACATAAAATCTTGAAACTAAAAATGCCGTGACTCTTCAGCTTCTCCAACAATTAAGTATAGTTCTTTAATAGCTGTATCAGCTCTTCTAATACAGGTAAAGAAACTTTTCCACCAGAACAACACATTCGAATGGATCCAGCAGGCTCATCTTTACATTTTAATGTTTTGCAGTGTTTACACTCTCTGTCCATTATATATACAATTAATATTCATGTAATTTGCATTATTATTAAAGCTACAGAAGATATGGTTGAAAAATAACCAATCTATTTAATTCTAAAACCGCAAAAATTACCATACATCAATTATTTTTAAATTTTTTTAAATTATTTGTTGAGCGGAGCGAAGCGAAGCTCTTTGGGATCAACTTCAATGCAATCTTTATAACAATTAATCTCAATAACGGCTTAACATATTTTAGTCAAACTTACCAAGGTTGTTTTGTAAAATGTTTGGATGGTTTAGCCCAACCAATTTCAATTTTTTATAATGCCTTTATAATTTTAAAGTAACTCAAAGTTTTTTTTTTAATTTTAACATCGGCCTTATGGACTGCCATGATGGTTACAAAATAACGACGTAAATGTAAAGAAAACAAAGAATCATAGCATATGTTAAAATCAAGCCACGACCTAAACACAGTACAAAGGGGGAAAAATTGGATGATGACAACTGATCAAATAATACAGAGAAAGTCTTAGGTTTACATTTAGGTTGCAATTTGGAAAGGACCACTAATCGAATAGGTAGTCATAGATGAAACACACTTTCTTAGGTACAGTATTTAACAGATTTAATTTAGGTAGCTAAATAAGGTTATAACGAATAACATTTTATCTTAAACAATTCGTCCGTGAATCACATTCATGGATCCATCTCATTAATGGCAAACTTAAACAGGTCCACGTAGGAAAATGTGAGGAAGAAGTAAAGGCTGGCAGTGCGGAGTTTGGGAAACGTTTGTGGCAGTTGCATTAATGTATCTGTAATACTAAAATGCTATGTGAAGGGAGGGAAACAGGTCAACGACGTAGGAAGTGGTGAAGGAAAGTAGTAAAGGCTGGCAGTGCGGAGTTTGGGAAACGTTTGTGGCAGTTGTATTTAATGTATCTGCAATACTAAAATGCTATGTGAAGGGAGGGAAACAGGTCAACGACGTAGGAAGTGGTGAAGGAAAGTAGTAAAGGCTAGCAGTGCAGAGTGTGGTAACGTTTGTATTTTGTATTACATCCTATAAACAAATTTTAATTTTTTGGTTTTTTTAAACCATGAAACATGATTGCTCTGCTCAACTGGCTTTCACTGCTATGAAAGCAATCCTAGTTTGTAATAATTGTATTGTTTATAGTCTAGTGTTGCGTCGAATTCCAAATAAATAAATCAACACATATTAGTAGATTAAGTAAATTGTTCTAAACCTACACAATTTAAAATTTTCAGGTACCATTAAGTGTATTTGACTTTGCAAACGCTCAATGTTCCGAGTATATTCTTCACCGCCATCATGATGACATTGATAGAAAAAATAGCAGTGAAACAACATTGGAGGATTGGAACAATTACCTATTTTGGTTCTACAAAATTGCTCACGAGAAAGAAAACTTTGAAACTACCTCTTATCCAATGATTCAGGTTTGCACAAATAGTAGTCTCCGATTGTTTGCTTATTTTATTTTTATGGATGTGTAAATAATAATAGATAATTTATAGCCTATATAGATAATCCCAGCCCGGTACAGAAGGGCTTGGCTAAAGCTAATAATTCATTTTCATATTTTAACTATAATATAATATAATACCAAATACCAAATATAACTATAATAAAATACCAAAGGAATTCTATCCAGATTGAAAATTATTTCTTCAAATTAGGAAAAAATAAAATTACTGTGCCTCAGACTTTGTAAAAATATATTATAAATATTAAATGCATTGTATATATACTGCAGACTCCTACAAAGCTTCCTCCCCAAACAAGTGGATTGAGTGTTGAGTCAAATTTGAGTGTTGTAAACCATTGCACAATCAATGATACCCGAACTCACTTGAGAATAAACTCAAGAGGCATAAGGTAAACCTTTTTATACAGGCAGGTGTTTTATAGTAGGTACCCAATCATGTCAAAAATCCACAGAGGGAAGACTTTTTCACTCCAGACGGATTTCAAATGATTTAATAAAACTAAGGTAAGCTAATTTACTTAAAGAACATTCATGCTGAATGCAGGCGTTATATACGATGAGCAAAATGACCCTAAAGAACATGGAACCCTACTGGCCGTTGTTGGAGCTAGAGGGATGCTGTAATCTCTGGGTGATCAAACCCCCAGCAGACTTCTGTGGACGAGGGGTGCGAGTGATGCAGACCATTCACGACATCATCAACCATGTACAGCTGCTGGGCGACAACAAGTACAGCCGGTGTATCATTCAGAAGTACATTGGTAAGATGAAGAAATAAACAGTAAACTTTTAAGATGGTATTGAATAATCTATAATGATTTTGTTATTCATCCAATACCGTACTCGTACACTCCCTTAATCTTACTGACTAAGAAAAAACATGAAACTAAAAATTGCTCTTTACATAAAATAGGACTTTCAGGGCATTGAATTGTGACCTCATTGAAAAATATAATGGAATAGCTTTAGTTGGTTCCTTTTTACTTTCTTCAGTGTATAAGGAGAAAGTATTGTATTGCTTAGAGTTAGACAATGAGAGGCAATCCCAATTTCCTTTATTTTCCAAAGTGACATTTGACCTTTAAATAGTCCCTCAGTGGTGAAAAACTCTGGCATTATAGGTATTTCAGATTTTAAATATTTTTATAGGCATCTCGGATTTGTTCAATACATATAGAAATATCAAATTTTTAATAGTAATTTTTTCCACAGAAAGACCCCTACTTGTGTATGGAACCAAGTTTGATATCAGACAATGGTTTTTGGTAACAAGTGTATATCCACTGGTAATATGGATCGCTAGGTAAGTGCTTTAGGATTTATTTAAAGTTTTAAAGTTTGACTATAAATGGGTTTCACTTTTTATTTTACATGTTTAGAACTACCCGAAACCCACTATTTAATTCTAAATAACTAGTCTCAATAAAAATACAATATTGTACTCCAAGAGTTTGAAGGTATCTTATTAGGCCTATATAGTTTTCTGACAGAGTACTCCACCTCTTCTATTTACTAACCGCCAACCGTCTTGATTTCTTTAAACAAGAGTCAGGAACTTGACCCTTGTACTATGGCCACTCTCTCCATCCTTGGCCACTCCTTTCATTCTTTCCCTTTGTTAAAAATTGTGAATTAGCGCAAACAAAAACCAGCAAAAGCAGTACTCTATGACTCTATAGCATCAGCAGTATGTGTAGGATACAATTTATAAAAATAAACTAAAATCTAAAAAATGTTCAGTGAAGAATGGCAATTTCATTTAAAATCCAGCCCTAACATTGATGATACATGTTGAACTCATAATTTACCATAAGTATTTAAGTGTGAATAAAAAAATCATTAATGTCTCCAAGAAATGCCAACTTGTCCAAGAATGTACTATGAGTGTAACTTTGTCCAAGAAAGCAGACTTTGACTCGGCCTCATTTCAGAGAATGCTACCTGAGGTTCAGTTCACAGCCGTTTTCCCTCGTCAATCTGCACGAGTCTGTTCATTTGACTAACAATGCCATACAGAAGAACTATACCAACAGCAATGAGCGAGACACCAGACTACCAGCAGAGAATATGTGGCACTGCTCTACCTTCCAACAGTACTTGAGGTGTTACAGTCTTTTCAATTTAAGTCCGTTATTTTCATTAGTTTTCATTAATGAACACCCATTGTGAAAATCTGTACAGCCTTCTATGATCATCCTAAGCCACATATATGCACATTTGTATGCCAAAACAATTTTCTGCATACACGTATGTCAATTGGGAAACAGTATAGAGGAATTGGCTCCCTTCTTACTGAAACCTTATTACAGAACGTGATGATTCAAACTTGGCGGGAGCGTCAATTTTCTTTATTACGTTTTTGAATACTATGATGAAAGATTAAACTAATCATCTCATAGGGTGAGAACCAACTCGAATAGTGTAGTCAATGAAGCAAGAAACTAAGAAACACAATGTTGGTCTCATATCAGAGCTAGGTTGCTTGGATATGACAGGAGCTCGAAGTAGACAATTCAGGGACAACCCAGAATTCTGGTTATTTAGACAATAAATAGAATTTTAAAAATTATTCTTGACTGCCAATTGGCTGACATTTTTACCATTTAATCTTATTGCCACTGCGGTTACCTTGAATCAGTTGCCCCATCTGCAACAATATTGACTTTGTGACAATATTGACCTTATGTCTTTTAGGCATATCCTAAACCAACAGTTGAATTAATTGTCATTGGAAAAAGTATCTGATTATATTTCGGATCTTTCTACCATCCAGATTACCATTTCATTAACTTCATTAGCATAGTTTGATTGAGCGAATCCCATATGATTTCAGAGACATAGGTGAAACTACCAGATGGGACTCAATGATACTTCCGGGGATGAAAGAGGGAATCGTCGGAGCAGTTTTGGCCTCTCAGGATGAGATGATTGAGAGAACCAACAGTTTTGAGTTGTACGGAGCTGATTTTCTGTTGGGAGCTGACTACACTCCTATACTGCTGGAGATCAACATGGGTCCAGCAATGGCTCCTTCCACCAGCATTACAGCCGATCTGTGCAAGAGAGGACTGGAGGACATCATCAAAGGTTGGGAAGAGGTGTTTTTGTTAGATTGTTAGAGGTACAGGTATAGAAGAATATTGTTCTAATTAGAATGGCAAGCAGAATGCACATTCACAAAACCCTTTTCCCATCACTGTCACTTTTTTTTGTACAGTCATCTCAACAGGCCCTTTACCACTAGATGCTAGAGGTTTGACTCTCAATATTGGGAGCCTTTCCCTAATCCCTCCCTACATGTAATTCTAATTTATACAATCATTACACTGTATGCTAGACCAGGCTAGACCCAGGCTCGCTGCCTTTTAGCGAATTTCCCATATAGGGAATAAGCTATTACCGTAGGTCTCATGGTAAGACCTGGACCCGGGACCAATTTACTTTTTCGTTTTGAAGTCCCCAGAGGCCAAAAACTTCATTCGTAAAAAATGTATGTATGGAAGTGATGTTTGTGACAAGTAAACGCGAAAAATACTGGTCGGATTGGGCTGAAATTTGGGGTGATGATAGCTCACATTCCTGATTAACATATAGGTAGGCATATTGTTATCTCAAAACTCCATTCAGGCTCTGCCCCAGTGGCTCTGGAGTTTCCCATGTTAACCTTATTCGTATTCACATTATTATATTTTTTGCAATTATGATAACAGCTAATTTGAAGTAAGCAGCGTCAAAAAGCTGTGATACACTATGAGAACATCTCAGTGACTCTGTACTATTACTATTGGAAATTTAATGAGGATTCTGAAAATGACATTACATTCTAAATCAAAACAATTTTTAGTGCACTTATGTTCATTTTATGTAAGAAAATACAAATAATTTGAAAAAATCTTAATTTGTCTGTTATTCCCTACCTGTGTGGGTATGGAAATCTAAATTAGTGCCATTTTGTTGCCCATACTAATAAGTAGTTTAACTGTATTAGAGGTGGCTGTGGTTTAACACATAACAAATTTGAACACTAACTTCGTTCCAAACTGTATATTTATATATGTGTCCGTTAGTGCGATAACTCAAGCAAAAATTATCCGATTTTGATGAAATTTTGTATAAACCTACATTTATTCAAACGAGTTCGCGAACCTGCATGATCAGTCCATGGGAACAGGGGCTTATAGGGTAAAAATGAGTTTTTCCCATTTTTGACCCTAAAAACATAAAATTTTGCTATTTTTTTAACCGTTTTATAGCTTAAAGAAAGAAATAATTTAGTATATTGAAACTCTCTTGTATGCATAATGGTTACAAAGATAATAAAGTGTAAGTTTAAAATCTCCATGTTATTATTATGGAGAAATTTTAAATTGTTGTAGTTTACTTGTTTTTGGATATAGTATGTTGATAAAATTTGACAGATTTGTTTATTTCATCCTATGCTTTTTGAGTTTGACCAAAAACACTTTTTACCTTCCCCGTAGCAGCAAACCTAAGCACTCGTTAAATCTAATGTTATTTATATTGGGAATAAATATGTCTTCAAATTATAAAAATATTTCTTTGTAACGATTAAAGGGAAACATCTGCAGTTAATGGAAGAGAAGCATTTAGATGGGATGGACCAGTACTGCCTGGAGACTGGAACTGTTAAATTAACAATTATGATAAAGGTAAAAGTGTTTCATATCCTCCTGAATTTTTAGTCTGTGAAATGCAAGATGAGAAATTTTAATTTTTAATATTGGTTTTTCAGTTGTTTTGGACACAAGACACAACCAAAGCGCTGAAACAGGAATGTTTGAGTTGTTATACAAACAAGAGATGGGCCCTCGCCACCCTCATACAGGCCTAGACCTGGTAGTTACTGGCTCCAAGCTCACTAATGGGAGAAAAGTCAGAAGACCAAACTGAGCTATAAGATAAATAAAAAAGTTTGCGCACAATTGGTTTTTTTTATTCCCTTCCAAACATCAATAACAAATTAATGGTGTTATCTCGATTTAATTCTCCAATTAATGAATTAATGAGTTCTTGCATGCTGATGACCCATTGTCATTACTGTATTAGCAAATTTAATATTGGTTAGTTAAAGACTAGAAGGCAACATTAAACAAAATTTCATTTTTAGTATTTTTAGCGATAAATGAGGGTTTCTAGTGAATTTAATGTAGGCGGCCAAACAGTTAAGCCTACATTAGATTAAAAGGCTTTCCTATAATTAATTTGCTAAAAAATTCATTGGTTTTGCTATTTAAAAGACATAGCATTGGTTGTCGGGCAAATATAGAAATTTTCTTTTTAAAATAACTTATCTGGAAAAACTATTAAGTCTTGATCGGAAAAGGCTTTGCAATTTTAGTATTGCTGTTTTTTTTTTTTTTTTTTTAACTAAACTAATTTGATTGCTAACAAAGGTGGAGAATCGTTAACACTCAACGAGAGATATTTTGGCTAGTAAAGCCAACGAACATAGAGAACTTAATTTCTCTGGGGCCCAATAGGCCTATTAGAAAATAAATGGGTTTAAAGTAAAAAAACACATTTCATTTGTAAAAAATATGTAATAATTATTTCACAATGAAGAACATACAAATTTAACAAATCTTTGATAATATTCACACAGATGATCTTTAACTGATAAGCAAGTTTATCAATATTCAGTACTAGCAAAAATATACACTTGGCAAATACAAAAGAGAATGTGGTTTTCTTTGATTTAAAAGCAACATAATATAAATTATTTTCCATAGATTCGGTCCAACAAAATAAAATAATAAAATACTTTTTAATCTTAAATACATGTTGGTCTCAGATAAAAGAACAACACATCTATTATACATTTGCCAAGTCATATTTGCACTATTTTATAGAAACTTAAGTTCACCACGATAACAAAAAAAGAGTACAGCACTTATTAAGTTACTAGCAATGAATATGTAAAAAAGAACACTTGTCCCATACACAACACTGCTACAGAGTGTCTACATGCACTTAACTGTGTCTGTACACTACAAACTGCTCAACAATTTAGAAACACAATTTTTTGATAAAACTATTCCAAATAAAAAATATTATGGACCAAACATTCTATTTAAAAATTATACTGGCACTTTCAAGTTTCAACATTTTTTTTTTAAATTTAGACTAAGTGTCATGTAGAAAACACGTTTAAAAGGACTGTCACTTTTTTGTCGATTATGTTGACAGTCTTCATTTCAAAGGCTACTATGTTTTATTCCAATAATTTGTTTAAAAGCGTATATGTACAAGTGCTACATTTACAGGATCTTTACTATTTATTTTTAATTTTCCTAGAAACACTGCAAAATGTGTGTAACATCGGGCATACTTGAACCGCTCACTCACTGCCTTTACATATAATACACATTACAGTATAGTATTTTGCTAAAATAGGCTCCATAACAGTTATTTACACAATGACGAGTTTACTATACAGAAAGAGGAAAAGATTTATTGTTAATTTTCAGCACAGAGCTGCCAATAATAAATATATACTTTCACAAAAATACTTTAAAACAAACAGCATTAAATACTGGTCATGTATTTACATAAGTCACTAAAATACTGTTATACCAATATGGACTTTCGATTCTTCCACCTTCTAAAATAACACTTTGGAAATGAAAACAAAGATTGACTATGAACACACAAAAAGGTAAAAAAAAACTAGAGATAGAATAATAAACTAATAAAATACATCAATAACTCAAAACATATAAAACATTAAGGGTATACCTGTAGCAAACAACATAAAATTTAAAATATCATAAAATGTATTAGTATAAAAAATACAATGATAGCCTAAAAGCAAAACAACGCGGCTCAGTGATGTATCACAGTTAAAATATAAGAATAGAACATCCATTCCGTTCCTTCCGACACAGTACAAGGCCAACTGACAGTATTTGGTTTGTACCACAGTATACAAAAGTGCAGTTTTTAAAATATTTTAGAAAAGAATTTTTGTACCTTTACAAAATACCTATGATACAATGTTAAAAGGCAGTGGAACCATTCAGGAAACTTTACGCAGGCAAAATTACAGTTGTTTTAAAATCCCTCCCAAATTTGTACAAATAAATAAACATAAAACTATCATACCTAAATACAAAGATACAAAAACTAACAAATCACCAAACGATTACATGTTTACCTCTAAACGACAAAAATAAAAAAACTTAAAACAACTTAACATTTGGTATCATTATAAAAACAATATTTACACAAAGCTATTTTTTTGGGTTGAAAAAGATTATTTGACTAAAGAAATGTTGTAGGACAGAGTCCATTATGTTTGAAAGGAAATGTAATTACTAAAGGTTGGTGTCAAATCAAATGCTGTCACTTTCACCTAGTTGGAATGGTCCTCACGGGCCCTAGCCGCCGCGGCAGCTGCTGCACGACCGGCACTACTTCGCAGCATTTTTCGCTGCCCTACATCTACAGATTTCTTACCCCTTCGTTTCTTACCCTTCCCACCACAACCGAGGTCACTTTCCCCTTCCCCACTTTCGTCTTTGGCGTCAGAAGGAGTAAGAGAAGTTTCCTCACTCGCACTAGGTTCGTCGTAACCCATGTCGTCTATCCTCTCTTCAGGGTCCACGCTTTCCTGAGTGGTTCCTTCAGGAGATATTGGCCTGTCTTCTACAACAGCAGTCTTACTTTCTTCGACCGAGTAGTCACTGGGAATGAGATTCAGATTTTCAGGCGGAGGAGTCTTTAGTTTTTCCTCTACCCCTCCGTTACTCGACAAATCGAGACCGGAAAAATTTGCTTTAGCGGGTGACGGAACCGGTGACTCTTTGCTCTTTTTTGGCAAAGGGCTTGGGCTTCGTTTGCTAGCGGCCAGATCTACCGGAGCTGAAACAAAAGCCTCTTCTCTGGTTCTCTTAGGTGCCTTCTCTTCTTGAGGTAGCCTGGGGAGAAGTTCCGTGGAACTTTTACTTAGAGTCTCCAACGCCTCTTTCATCTCCTGTTCCCTGGAGTATGACGAAGGCCTCTGCTGCTTTGGCTTTGCAGACCTTGTCAGACTCTCGAGCAGATGCGTATCATGAGGCAGCAGGAACTGTGCAGGAAGTCTTTGTTTGCTCTGATTCTGACCCGAGGAAGCTGACGTTACAGTCGTAGCCCTACCACTGGAGACACTGGTTGTGGAACTCGTGCTCTTGTGTCCTCTGCTTTGAGCCTGGGTGGCACTCACACTCAAGCCACCATTGAGTAAAGCTAAACTGTCGTAAGCGGATGACATGGCTCCCGGTTGAAGAGAAAACGGATTTAAACCTCCCAAGCCAAGTGGTGTATACAGAAGACTGGGGTTGGGGAAAAAGAAAGGTAAAGAGGTAGGCAAAGTAGATGCGGCCGAAGAAACCGGTGTTTTCGATGTGCTTTTACTTTCGGTTTTATGAGACTTAGAGGTCTTGGACTCTGAGGAACCTGAAGGCGTCGATGTAGCGGGATTAGTCAATGCGGAAGAATCCATTCCAGCCAAGCCAGGTAGCCCTAATCCTGCCAAATTGGCAAACAGAGAGTTGGTCAAGTTCATGTTGCCCAGACCTGCCATGCCACTGAGAGCACTCATGTTGGGCATGCCTCCGAATGGTAACAACAGTGGGTTGTTGAGGCCAGACAGAAGTGTGCTGGGGAAGGGCAGACTAGCTGTAGGCAGTGTAGTAGAGGGCTGCGTACTGGCCGTAGTGGACGACCCTGAAGGTGAAGACAACAGGGGTGGTCTGCCTGGTCCTTTCTTCCTCTCTGATTGTGGGAGTCTTTTCTGCAAATCATGAGGCAGATTTCCCTTTTCTTTGACAAGTTCCGCCCACTTAGGATCAACATCGTACATAGGATTTTCAAGCAGCCACTGTGCAAGTCTCTTGAGCTGTGGGGCCTTGTTTCCTGTCAACTGCAACAAATATCAGAATATAACTTTTTTTGTAATTTGAAAATGTTTTTATGGTAAATTTGAGTAAAATGTCATCATGTATGCGAAATTGTTGAATGTTGGTTGACAGACCTAGACATTCCATTTCCATATTATAGCCATTTTTTTATTTTTATTTTTGTGTCGTAAGGCGCTAGGCTTGAGCCTGGGATTGTTTTTCACATTACTTCAAGCTATACCTAGGGGTTGCGGCAATTTCACTTAAAAATAACTTTTCCATTTTGAGAAACATTCTATTTACTTTGAGATTATTACTAAAGCCTCGTTCACAAGGTGCGAGTTTACAAGCTACTCGCCAGCATGTAAGAAGCCGGCGAGTTGGCGAGTGTGCTTGTATTTGTTCACACGGAGATTGTCCACTCGCAGACGTGTAGAAAGACGCCGGCGAGACGGCGAGTGCGCTTGTAGTCGTTCACACTATGCTTTTTCCACTCGCTCAGTAGCTAGCTTGAACCAAATCCTCCGACATCTTTGAATAACATGCGCACAAGCACAAGCAACTGTGTTCACACTGGGCTACTTTACACGCCTACTCGCTCAAAATCTGGCGAGTTGGCGTGTAAAGTAGCGGCAGCGTCAACTTTTTCCGTAGCTTTTTTACAAGCAGCTTTTGAGCGAGTATTTTGTTTACACTGAGCTATTTTACTAGCTGCGTGTAAAAAAGCCGGCGTGTAGCTTGTAAACTCGCCCCGTGTGAACGGGGCTTAAGTTTCATCTTTTGTTATCGTCACACCCAACCACCAAAGAACAACATTAAAATAAGTAGGAAACAACATATTTAGCAATGAAAGAAAGCAAAGATTTGCATATTGAAATTAAAATAATTTACAAGAGACTAAAACTACAACTGCAAAGACTTGGATGAGTCACAATAATCGCCATGTGCAGCACTTGGAACAATTTAGACACATGCACAAACCTTAGCATGCACCGTGTCAAGAGTATCAAAGAGTAAAACAGCACAAAAACACGAATGTGAAAACATGCAGAGTATGTTAACACAAATATTAAAAAGATAATGATAGAAAATACCGCAAAGGAACAGTTTTTATACTGATTTGCTATTAGAAGGAACGCCCTTGCAGTATATACCGTGGGATTTTCAGTGTGTTTTGCCCCTCAATACTATTCTACCTCAGCACTGCAAGTCATTTCCTTACCTTTTTACCAGTCATTCTATTTATAACTGACACGTTTTCATCCCCAGTCAATTTTTTCCAATCGAGAAGGGTCGGATCAACCCTGGGCCTTCGACGCCGAGGGGCTGATAGAAAATCAGCGCCCAATGATTGTTCAGGGATCATTGATGTTTGTTCTGCGAGCCATTTGTTAACCTACAACAAAATTGGTTTACACAAACTTGCAAAACTTCTGGTAGGTTCTATGCCGGAGGCTCCTAACAGAAACTCTATCGACTATCTCGTAAACAAGGTAAAAAATAATTTTTACTTCATGTAAAACTAATGACTTTAAGCATTTAACTCCCTTCTCTTGACAAGTCTAATACTTTGATATCTTAGAAACTGTTGTGTTCCTTTGTAAACTAAAATAATCAGGGGTAGAAATATTGTTTTCCCACAGCCTAGAAGTACTCATCCTGAAGATCACTCGTTTGGTCAAAACTTGAATTCTGTTCCCCGGAGGAGTTCATTCATGATCCATGCGAACACAGAAAAAGAGAGAGAAAGAGAATAAAACACTTAAAGCGGACACAAAATATGTGAAAGGAGAAATCCTACCTTGGCTTCGTGAGAGTAGGAACTGATTTTGGCAGAAAAGTCGGCCACCTTGCTGATATCTGCAATCATCGCCTCGTACGTCTTGCGCTGCACATGGGCAGCTGAGGCAGAGTTGGGCTGGGCCATCTTGATAGCCTGGAATAGCAAACCAACAACATGAGTCTAGTGGTGAACTCGAAGCTTTGAAGCCCAAGGTGCCGAGTTAAAATTCCGCCAATCACCAAAGGATTTTATCTGTGATAATGGCACGATCCTCCAGAACTAGAAATAAGTAACGTGTGAAACAGTTTCGGGCTAGAACATGAGGAAACAAATAAAATGTTCTTCTCAACAGTGCAAAAATATAGACAATCAGGAATTGTCCAAATCAATAGAGTAAAGTCAAGTAGACACAATAAAATTCTCAAAATTCTTAGGTTTAGGATAACCATCTTATCTTATCTTATCTAACAGGGGCAGGTCGAGACCTTTAAGCACTTCATCCGAAATCGAATTATTGCGCACCCCAGACAATTGCTTTCTTGTTGACCTACAAGTTAAGGCACCCAATTAATGCCTGTAGCTTCCCAATTAGTTCATCCTCAGGAAGGTAGGCCTATCTACCTCTAGCCATATTACCAAGAGTTATCAATCTAGCGTCAGAGAGTTCGTTACAATCAAAGAGTAAGTGATCAGCTGTCTCTTCTGACCTATCACAGTACCTACAGATCGGTTCACCATCATATAAGCCCATCCGTTGTAAATGTTTCCTGAATCTTCCATGACCAGTTATCAGTTCAACAATTAATTTAATTCTTCGTCTGTCTAGTCTCAAGAGGTCATAGGCGACCTTTTTAGAAGGCCTAAACAGAGTAAGCTTGCTGACCCTAAGAAGGGGAACATCGACCCAGCGTTTGCGATGCTTTTCCTTGGCCCATGACGCAATCGCAGAAAATGCACTGTTTCGTGAGATGCCACAGAAGGGTTGTGGGCCTATCATTGATGTCGCAGAGGCAGTATTTGCCAATCTGTCTGCAGCTTCATTACCTTTAATGCCTGAGTGTCCTGGCACCCAGCAAAGCGTAAGGTAATTTCTCCTACCCAACTCAGACACAGAAGCAAGACAGTCCCACACGAGCCTGGAGTTGAATTCGTAAGAGTTTAATGCTTTTAAGGACGCTTGACTATCAGTATAGATATTGATTGTTTTGTCTCTGATATCTTTGTTAAGATGTTCTCGAGCACAAACCAAAATGGCAGTGACCTCCGCTTGAAAGACAGTTGGCTACACCCCCATTGGAAGACAAATGCCAGTGCCTCCATTTATCCAATGCGCACCTGCTCCAGTGCCCCCATTTTTGATCTTAGAACCATCAGTATAGCATTCTAAATCACCTGTGGGTATGGGTCCTTTTCCGCCAGACCAATCCTTCCTATCTGGTATTAGTACTTTGAAAGGCTTTCCAAAGGAGTATTTTTTGGACATGTGATCTGAAGGCAAGTCCAATTCATCATTATGTACCACCTGAACAATTTTGGAGTGCCCTTTATTGTTTCCTGAGGTTATCCATAAGTTTTCGCATCTAAGGCGTTGGGCTGTTTTACTTGCTACCACCTTGATGTAAATGTCGATAGGTAGCATATCAAGCAGACAGTCAAGAGCCGCTCCAGGACAGCTGCTTACTGCCCTAGTTATCATTATAAGAGCAAGCCTCTGAACTCCTGCTAAAGCTTTGACAGCTATAGTAGATTCCATTAGGATAACCATTTGAATTGGGATGCATTATCTCCCCCAAAAGTAAAATTCATAAGTATGTGTTTCGCAAAGATATACACACAAGAAATAGAGATCAAATGGACATACCCTGGCTTTTTTCTCAAAGAAAGCAACAGTGCAAGCAAAATCGGATGTAAATTCCTTAATAAATTACCATCAAATCTGAAAACTAATATACATACTTTTAGATTTAGAAATGTAGTAAGAAAATATCTCCAAGATAAAACTTGTTATTCTATAGATTTCTTTTTATAGCTCTATCAATCGATCCAATAATTTTCAGTGATAAAGGAAAAAGACTACAAATTAAAAGATCTGGTGAGGGAATTTAAAAACCTTGTCTCTTGTTATGCAAACAACCAAAAAGAGTAAAAAAAAATCAAATGCAATATGCAATACTCTTCCGGAAATCGGGAATATTTTCCCCCTGAAAATTTCCTGAAATTTTGGGACCCGTCCATCCTTAATTTTTACTTTAGCCATTCGATATTAAATTTCACAGGAAAAGATAAGGAACAAAGCAAAACATTAACTATGAGCCATAAAGGAACAAGTTAACTGGATGAAAACGGCAAAAAACTATGATATGCATCTTCGCAAGGCAAGCCTATCAGGAGAGGGTTTATGATGACTGATGTTTACGTTTGTTGTGTGTTACCTGTTGTTGCTGAAGTAGTTGTTGCTGTAGTTGTTGTTGTTGTTTCAACAGCAGGTTGTGCTGCTCTGCCTGTTGCAGGAAGGGAGGCTTGTTGGAGGCCGCAGGAGATTTAGTCACCGTCACACTCACACTGGGACTCTTCTTGGGCTCAGACTGTTGTTCCTTAGCTGCTGAGAGACCCAACACAATCTCATCCAGCTTCCTCTTCTTCTTCTCCTTCCCCACCACTGGCTCTTCTACAGGCACCGGCTGCAAATATCTCTTAGTTGTAAAACAATCAATGAACAGTTAAAACTATTTTATACTAAGTTCTTGAATAATAATTTTGTGTAATAAGAGGTTTGAAAAAGTAAAAGGTGGCAAAAAAAAATTGTATCCGGTAAACCGGACTGAATTGCTGGCTGGGAAAATAAATTTAAATTCAATAAAAGAACTAAAACATAACACTGATATTTCATCTTAATACAGGTCTTCTTTAGGCTTCAATAGTCATTCAAAGATCTGTAGATTCAATCTACCTTTGATCCGTACAGTTTAACCTACTGATAATAATGTTCCTATATCGATACATACACAATTCTTCCTCTGCATCAGTTTGTTCAGCATATCATCCAACTTGCTCTTCGTCTGTTGAGGCTGCTTGTTTTTACTGGGCATGGAGAAGTCTTGCACCTCATCCATCATTGATGAAGTATCTTTCGACGTGCTGGCTTTGGCATCGGAGGAAGATGATTTTGGAACACTGAAAATAAATGTATGGTTTGAAATAAACTCAAATACCTAATTGATTGATTGATAATTATTTATCCAAGTACACAAATAATCGTATTGCTGCCTACTTCAATATTCTGAAATGGGCAAGATGTTGTGTCTTTGAATATACGTTTGTTCAAAGACAGAAACTTCTCTAAACTTTAGCCAGACCATGCAGCAAAAAGAAATTGGCCATAGTGTGATGGTTTCAGCTTTGAATATCGTTACAAGTATACTAGTTAAAAGTTGTAGCTTGTTACCGTTACTTATGAACAATAGAAACCCCAATTACTAAACTATTTAATGAAGCTAAAATGAAAGAACAACTTATCTAAACTGTAGCACATTTTAAATCACATAAAATAGCACAGTGGTAAAAAAAAATTAAGTGGAAAATAAAATTTTCATATCGGCACACTGTGGCGAGTGGCTTGTTCATTCAGTGTTCTACTAAATCACGAAATTGGCAACAGCTGATCATATACAGATTGGACGTCTACATAAATACCTAAGAGTCAACTGTTTTAGTCTGCAACCTACTATCAAAAATTTAGTTGGTTTGAATATACATTTGGTGTAACTACCTGGAAGATAAGTCGATGGGTGTGAGTGTGCTGTTGGTGCCTGGCAGCGTGTGTGAGGGAGGAGGCTGCTGTTTGTGATACTTGAGGTCAAAGGGCATAGACAACACACGAGATGTCTGGTGAGACTGCTGATGAGCTGGTGGTGGCTGTAGTCCAGTCACTGGCGTTGACCTTCTGTAACATTACAGCACTCATAAAACTATCAACATTCCGTGGTCAAATTAGATAAACATTAAAAAATCTTCAATTACAATAGAACCCCTTTCAACCGCACTCCGTTAAACCAAAACTCGAGTTTAACTAAACCATAGAAATTAAAAACAATTAGATTCACTTAACAGCAGGGATTGTCCACTGTAGCTTGGGGTCATTGGTTTGGCTTGGCTCGGTCAATGGAATGCAATAAAGCAGATGACGACCTACATCCCTTACCGTGATAGAGAAAAAGTTTAGAAAATAGCTGACGATTATATCAGATTTTTAAATGACAAAAATATCAGAATTTTACTGTATTTGCAAAAAAACAACAACTGCAAAGCCTATATAGAATAGTTTATAAAAATCTATAGAAAGTTGAGTAGAAAAATCATGCAAAAATTGCTTTTAAAAGAGAATTTAGTATTGTTTTTATGGACAGACCACTTTGAAACTTAAGTGTTTGTATCCAGATAAACCACCTCCATTAATCATCACACTATGTTGAATATGCCTACCTTGATTCCTCCGAGAGAGATTCGTCGTTGTCCCACGGAGCGGCAGGAGAATGTTTCATCATATGAGACATCTGCATGTTTGTACTGTTCAACAATGCGTGCAGCTTGGCTGAAACACAGAGACATCAGTGAAAACACTTCAAAATCCATAGGCTTTTACAGTAAAGTTAAACATCTACAAAATACTCAGTTTTATCATTTACAACTTTTACTTTTTATCAAGAAATATTTTAAAATTCTAATTATATACTGAAATTTATAGTAGGTAGAAAATGTTAAGAGTCCTTGGAGCCTAAACATTCTAACTCATAAAACAATTAAAAAAAAAACTACAAAGAAAATTCCTAATCTCGCAGTATACTAGATTTTTAAATCACAATCACTTTGGTATATAAAAACAAATATTTTGAGATGGTAAATAACTCTTTAACGGCTGTTTGAAAATAAAGAAATTACAGAAACATTGCTCTTATGGCGGGCAAATCCAAGATGGTCGTTGGCTTCCATGGACTCCCTTGAAAATCAATTAAAAACAACAACAAAATTTTCTAATCCCACAGTACACTAGATATGTAATCATAACCGCTTTGGTGTTATCCAAGATGGCCGCTAGCCTCCAAGGACTCTTAACGTATGTTGAATGAACAAACTGACAAAATCAATGCCACTGCCACAGTTGCCATCTATAGAAATTGGCGTTGGTTACATTGAGCAACATAAGTAAGAAATTTTAATGTGATACAGTAGACTCCCTCTAGTTCGGCTTCGGTTGGATCGGCCGTTTAAAAATATTATATTTTTATATATTTATTCAGGGTGCTCAGTTGTACTTATTTACTACAATAATTTAATATATCAGCAGCCCTATTACGTGAACTTCTAAATTTAATATATATAGCCTATATGTAAATAAATGAATTTGAACGGATGATGTTTTTGGCCTCTGGGGACATCAAAACGAAAAGTAAATCGGTCCCAGGTCCAGGTCTTAAGGAAAATTCGCTAAAAACTGCCTTCATACTTTTTTGAAAAAAAAAAAAAACAGAAATAAACATTGTTAAAATTTGGCCCAAAGCTCAAAACTTTTTGTTTTCAAAAGAGTTTGACTCTGCTCTAACCTAAAAATCACTATCGCACACCCCTAATAGTAGGAAATGGACCATATATTGTAGCCTTAATACACCTGGCAGAATTTCTTTGAGTTTAACAAGAAACATTGGTTATTATCTGTTGTTCATACCACTTAGCATTAGACTATTCAATTACCTCTCTCAGTCTCCACGTCGATGGCTATATGCCTCTTGCGCTTGGCCGGCGGCTGATGTGCTGCAGTGGTGGGCCGAGAGTGGTCTGTAGTGATAGTGATCACCTCAGATCCCTCAGACAATGACCTCGGTGTAGACACTGGAGTATCTTCCCCTCCCTCTCCCTCCCCTAGGCCAGAGTAGGCTGAGAATGTGCGAGAGACCGGCCACTCCTTGTGTTCCACACAGTGCACTATGTGCTGCAGTCTCACTTGTAACGCATGGTCCTGCAACATAGACAATGGGCTGAGTAACTTGCAAAATAGAGTAGTTCGTTTGTAAACTGATGGGAGTTTGACTCCTAATCCAGATATAGGTAATAACATAAATGTGACATAAAACAAAATAAATTTTTTTTTTAAGCAACTAACATTAAAATAAATGAAACTCTTGACATTGAAATAAACATAAACATTACATTAATTAGAACATTTAGTGATCAATATTTCTTTGTTTTTAATAAATATCGATATGAAACAGAATTCTAAGCTGTTCCAGTATTTAAGATGCCGTTTGCAGTTCAGAATACAATTTACTTGTTTCATTAGTGTTAATGGAGATGTGTTTGCTCGATTGCTACTAGCTTGTGCGTAAACAATGTTAATAATAATGACACAAAATCAGTGACGTAGCCAGGATTTCAAAATAGAGGGGGTCGACTGACCAGGTCCAGGTAGAAGAGGGGGGGGGGTCCAGGAAAATTTTGAAAATATAGGCCCTAAAACGGTATTTTTTAGCTCTCCTGGCATTGAAAATAATCAACCCCAACGTCAATCCAGTATTATTATATAATTTACGTTTAATTTAACAAAAAAATATTATATTTAGGGCCGGAAGGGGGGGGTCCAGACCCCCAGGACCCCCCCCCCTGGCTACGTCACTGCAAAAATGTCATGATTTTCTAAAATATAAGTGCCAAAACTTCCTATTTCTAAACTTTTGAATCTCGAAACTCGGTGATCGAATCTCGAAACCGAAACTTTTCCAAAGTTTTGATGGTTTTGAGATTTGAGATTTGGTTTTGACACATCACTATATTCTAGACCCAGACCTCTCCACATAATAATTCTACTAATTTAAGACAAGTGACTTACCTTGGGCCATTTGATGGGGTTCTGGTAGCTTTGCTGCAGCAGTTGTGCTATCGTAGACTGTTTGTCAGCCACCACAGTCGTGTCAATCTCAGGCAGCTTGTGCATCACTTCCAGTTCAGGGAACATGGCCTTGAACCGGTCCACCACCTCGGTTCCCTTCGAAGCTTCAGACGACTCTGTCTTGGTTTCTTCTTTCACACTGTTTTTGTCAGATTCACTCTTGACAGACCCTGTTTCCATTTTTATTTCCAAGCTTTTCTTGTCATCGTCTTCCTTTTCTCCAGGAGATTTTTCATTTTTCACTTCAGAATCTACTTCTTCTTTTTTCTCGTCACTCTGGCATTTAGCCTTGACCACATCTACGTTGTTAGTTAACGCTTCTTTGAGTGTCGAGTCTTCTTTTTCATTCTCATCACCCACCTTATCATTAGATTCTCGATTTACAGCCAACATTTCAGATTCGTCCATACCCTGTTTTGATTGTTCAGATTCAGTTTTTACATCAGACTTTGTTTCCTCAGAGCTCAAAGGTTCATCAGTCTTTTCAGTATTACTATTTATAGTTTCTGAATCACATTTTGGTTCAGCACTAGTCAACTCTTCTGTCCTCTCATTGGTCGAGTTTTCACTCTCACCAGAATTTTTCACACCCTCGCCCTCATTTGTTTTCTCAGCTTCAGCTGATTCCGTTTCACTTTTCAAACCCTCTTCTTTCTCCTGTTTAACAGAGCTCTCCTCTTCAGGCACTTCTACTTTCAGAGGCGTACTTCCTATTTTTTCAATTTTAAGCGTTCCTTCCCCCTTTTCTAGTTTCACAAGTATTTCGTTTCTGTCGAGCTTCAGGATATCTTCAGGCCTTTCGAGTTTCAGCGTGTTACTGGTGCCTTCATTTTTAACAGAGATCATATTTTTCCTGACTATTTCTCTGAAGGACAGCTCTGGGTCGTTGAGTATGAAGAAGTCAGTTCGGCCCAGCCCGTGTTTGGCCACTCCCTGCAGTAGGTCCTTGTCGTGTTTGCCAGGTATCCACCATTCTGGCACGTCTGCTGACGACTGACACAGCCTCAGTCTCTCCTCCAGTTGTGGATGAGGCAGTATCTCCTCTCTGATCTTACTCAATAGAGTGATCTTCTCTAATGTACGGCGAGCCTTGTCCTCTGGCAGCGGCTCCACGTACATCTCTGTACACTCTGTAGGCAACATGTACAAAACATTACAATTGTTTCATATTATTAGAATTAATATACATTTTACTGAACATTGTTCAAGAACACATGTCAAGTTTAGTATCGTTTGTTTATATGCCTTGGGCATTATGTTGGACTAAAGAAGGCACCTTTTCTCTTTTTTTAATTTACATTTTCCTTCAGCAACAATACTTCTTGTCTAGATCCTTTTTTCATCAATTTATTTTAAAGATTTTTGTAAAAATTTGTTTTGTATTTTATTCCTGATAATTGACATTGGCACTATACTCAAAATTTGACTAAAGAATATGAAATTCTATGTAATTTTTTATCCATCAAGTTCTGACTTAATTAATAGTACATTAAATAAAGAATTAAAAAATATATTAAAATGTGCAATTTGTGTAAAAATTGAATTCAAGTTTTACAACACTTACAAAAGGTAGTACGAAGGTGTGCTGACTTGGCAAAGAAGAGTAAAGAATAGCTGTTAAAAAATGTAATGTTATTGTTCCTGTAACAGCGGCAGGTTCTTTTTAGACCATCAGCTGTGCTGCGGTTACCATAGGTTCTGACGTACACACCACTTGGAGCGCCATGTAGTTACGGCGTACGCGCTACGTAAACTACAGCGGTGTGTGCCAGAACCTATGGTAACTGCAGCACGGCTGACAGTCTATATTTAATTCTTTTTGTCTATGTCATTGTTAACAAGCCTTATAATATGCTTTTTATTCAAATTCATACTAACCTTCCTCTTCAGTCAGCTTTATGCAGCACACCCGCTTACACATTGCAATGAATGCTTTGTAATACTCAGTCATGGTCTCGTCAAACTTCTTTTCTAATCTGGCGATTGACTTGAATTTGCCCCATTCAAATCGATTCTTCTGCCTGTAACAAAGCAAAACTATATAAGTAAACACACTGACAAATCAACAAATCAATCAAGCTATCACACACTATTTAGTGTTACACAACTATATTTATAGGTGTATGTTATGTGAATGTAATAGGAGTAGGCCTACTACTTTTCCAATACCCGACATTCCAAAAACTCTGCCTATCCCGAATTTAAGTTTATTAACATTTTTTTAACATTAGTAAAAATGAAACTTCTTTACTGAGAACATTGTCGAAGTTGAAGTGTCGCCCCAAATGTCAGAAAAGCTTGCAATATAGCTATGTCGCCAAAGCTATCAATATAGCCTAAATTAACAAAATCAATAGACTGTGATTGATGTTAGCATCAACACCAAAGTTGAAGATTCTATTGACGATTTAACGAACGTCAGAAAGACTATCAATGTCAAAACTTCCAAGTAATCAAGTTATGATGTTGTGAATATCGACAAACCTAGCGATATCTCCAAGGGCGGTGATGAATTCAGTGATACCATGAATGGTGATACCACAAATGTTATACTTTGAACGCTAGCAATGTTGCAATGTTGGTTATTTATCTGTGAACAATAGAGAAGCAGAAAACACTAAAATGTTGCAGTAACATTGTTATCGTCTCGTGTGAGTAAGTTTTCATCAACTCTCATGATTGTAGCCATAAAGCCAACATTTTTTGCGATCACAGCTACACAAACGTCAACAGCGATTGCGATTATTCCCCCATCAATACTTTGATATTAGAGAAATCTGCTTATTCCGGATTCCCGCTAATCCAAATAGGGTTTGGTCACGATTTGTTTGGAATAGCGAGACTCTACTGTACTTTGATTGACTGCCACTATTCACATACCTGTCAAACTCTACGCCGTACGTGGAGACAGTTCTGTAGAAGTCTTGTTCCTCCCGTCGTGACCACTTGCGTTGATTCACCTCTTGCCTCTGTCTCTCTCGCTCTCTCACAATCTGCTCGTACTTCTCTCTCCTCTCTACCTTCTAAACATCCACAACAGACCCATATATAGGATGTTTCCATTATACAAAATATCATGGTTTTACTACTGTATTAGCAATTAAAAATTCCTTAAGACAAAACATCGATAAAAATTCTGATTAGGCCTACCATTCGTTTTTGTTACTGGTTTACTTGAATAATTTTTAATTATTTAATATTTTCAATTATATAAAAACAAAAAAAAAATTGAAAGATACAGCTAATCAAGGCATAGAAAATGAGAGAATTTGTACAAGTTTTTTCTACTTAAAATATTTGGTTTGATGTTTACAGAAAACAAGGAAAAAGATAATTTTACTTTGCTAAAAAAAAATAATACTACTAAGGTTTTGGGGGATTTTGAACTGCATTAAAATATGACATTCATTGTAGTACAAGTTCAAAGTTTTATGTTATTTCAAGTTATTGTAAGATAACTGTTAGATTGTCTTTAGGTAGAGATTTGCATGGTGAATATTCAAAACTAATGTGCTATATTATTTGCTACACTATATACAACTAAATTACTCCTATTGAAAAATGTTTACATACAAAAGCAACAAAAGACGTTTAACAGAAAAACAAATAACAACACAAAAGACTATGGTAAATGTTTAGCACACAGATAGTGAAAGAATAGCAAGACATGAAATTTGAAGAAATAACAGAATATAAAAAAAGCGCTCACAACTAAATTAACTTAGATTGTAGGATTATTTGAGTAAATTAGATAACTGTACTTAAATAACACCTGCAGCCCTCATTATATGAATTAATTTTGCTTTGGTAAATTTAATTCACTATGTGGTAAACCAGTGTTGTACACTTGTTTTGTTTAAGCAATGAATGACATTCTATTTCAAATGAAATTTTTATAAATCAAACTTTTTCAGTTGAAAATCAAGCTATTAATAGACCACAGACAAAATATATTTCAGTTTTCCACAACTTGTTGAGCTTGGGTTTCAACCTAAATGGCTGGTATTGTATTAAATTAAACTGAAACATGCCCACAACATGGCTCTTTTCAGATGTGCTAATCCGTAAAGAAACTCCATTGACAAAAATGTGAATAGTAAAGAAAGAAAGAGGCAACAACTCAAATACATGTTCTAATGAAAGAAAACTGTCACAAGCAAAGCTGCAAAGCAGTATTAAATACGGGTTTAAGGCTGTAAAAGTCAAATTTCAAATAACAGCTGATCAGCATTGTCTGTTTTGGTTGTAATTTGGATTAAATCAATGTTATCTTTAAACACTTGTACATACATTTACACTTATGCTGTAATTAATTTGTCAAACAGTTAATAGCCTATATCATCATCACACCAGTCATCATCACACTCAATTGGTGGTGTCCTTGCTTTTCAATGAACACTCACTAATACTAAGGATTTTCAAGTCGACTGAATTAATATAAATTCAATGTTCAAATTAAATGGGAGAAATGTGAAAAAAGGCAGAATTATTTTAAAGATATCTTGAATATAATGAAATGTCTTTTTAAAGAGCTAAGCTTGATTTGTGTATTTATAATTTAATATAAGTACAATAATTATGTGCTAAAATAAATGCATTACGCTAGCCATTAATAGCTGAGATTGTATGTGGCATAGGCACATAGCAGTACACACTCTACCCTATCATAATTTGGACTCGAGAAAAAGTGACCATCACGCGCTATTTAACAGATTGCTATGCACCAAAATTGTGTTTACAGTGACGCATCTCTAGTTTGAAATTTTGGTAAAATAATGGCTGTGTGGTTTGTAAAATCCACAGGAATGACAGTCGGTTTAGTGAGCGTTTACTGGACTGTTGTTATCGGCTGTGGGGTGGTGGGTTCTATTTACTACCAATCAGCCAAGTCTAGAGTGGTACTAACCCATAGGTACATGGCCAGCTGATGCCAATCCCAGTTGGTCCCCAGCTGTTGGTTGATGGCCTCAACAGCTGCTGAATGCTGCTCCATCGGCTACCAACACACAAGCATGCTCTCTCACTCTACCAACACACTACACTAACTCTCGACAATGCCTGTAGTGGCTCGCTCATAGTAATAGCGACAAAGTCTTAAAATTAAATGTAACATTCTAGAGAAACAAAATTTTGAGAATGTTACACAATAGCCTCAGACTAAGCCTATCTTGGTTTTAGCGAGGGATGGACAAGTCCTGAACTTTTAGGAAATGTTGGAGAATATATATTTCTGATCAAGATTTTACCAATATTGTTAGAGACAATGATGATGTCTCCAGGATCGTGGGAGATTCTCACAATTTTGTCACTGTTGCGGAAGACAAGGAGGGTGTCTCTAGGATCGCAGGAGATGATTAATAATTTGGTAACGGGTGACATTGATGATGTCTCTGTGATTGCAGCAGATCATCAATAATTTGCCACTATAGCAGGTGATGATGGCATAGAACAGTGCAATAAGGACCTAAAATAGGTTTGATTTAGGTTGAAATTATTGCAATATATTTGCATGAATTTTTACAGAACATTTTCAAAGCAAACCAAAGTTGCTCTTGCACTGGAAGAAAAATCCTGCCCCACCCTGAACTAAAAGTACAACCGACCCCCCATCCATCCCTAGTTTTTTGTTCAGCTTAACACAAAGCTTGCCACTCCAGACATTGTCAAGTTTTATCTGGTTTTCAACTCAACATTACCTTTGAAATATAGACTTTGTGTGTAAATGCTCTACATAAAATAATATTGTTGCTAAAACTACTTCAAAAATTGGTAGATAGTGATTAAATCGACATTTAAATCCCTACAACAGACTTGATTCGATCAATATAAAAATATTTTGGTGATACTCTTTAGCCAGTCTGTTTTACCTGAATTAGGCCTAAGTTGGAAAAATCACAGCTAGTAAGTTAGAGTTAAACTAAAACAGCATAAATTTGATTATTTACACAGCTGTCCCATTTTGTCAAAACCCAAACATGTATTTACAACGGTTTTTACTGACACAAAAACACAGTCAAACAATTTGAGAGCAACTTAACACACCCAACAAAATGAAGAAAATAGCAACGGACAATCACAGGAACATCAAGAATTGAGCCCTAATATTTCCACATCCATGGAGTAATTTTTAAAATATGAACGTTTTTAAACATTTGTTTTAATCATATTTACTTTTTAAAATATTATATTTTTTAAGTGCAAAGCTACAAACTACCATAACTATCAAACTACGGTGAATAAAGATGTAGTTTAATCAACTCAACTAATTTAGGTGCAGGGTATAAACAAAATTTGCTACAAGAAGTCAAATACAAGTTCTATTGAAGTTAATGGCATATCAACTTTAGTAAAAAGGATGTTTAAATTTTCCAGTAATTTAATTGTACTACCTACAAAGTTTGTAAAATTCTTCAATAGCCTCATCATTGTGTAAAATAGACCATCTTAATTTCCTTTTGGTTGGGTTCCAACCTTCAACTCAAAACAAAATTCTTTTAAGATTTTTGTGAATACCCCGCCGCAGCCAACCTGCAGACTAAGCGAATTTCAACTAGTCTGATTACATATTTACTAAAATATTTCCATAAATAAGACATATTTATTCCCAATTTAAATAACATTAGATTTAACAAGTGCTTAGGTTTACTGCTATGGAGAAAGGTAAAAAGTGTTTTTGACCATTATAGCATAGGATGAAATAAATAAATTTGCCAAATTTTATCAACATCCATAAACAAGTAAACTACAACAGTTTTAATTTTCTCTATGAGAAAATACTCGGGAATTTATTTACTTTCCCTAAGAATAAAATGGTAGTTTTAAAACGTACATTTTTTTTTCTCTGTAACCTTTAGGCATAAAACAGAACTTCAATATGCTAAATTATTTATTTTTTAAGCTTTTAAAACAGTTTTGAAAGAAATTGAAACATTTTATATTTTTAGGGTCAATAATGGGAAAAACTCATTTTTACCCCTAAACCCCCCCCCCCCCCCCCATAAACCCCCGTTCCCATTGTCCGATCATGCTGGTTCGCGAACTCGTTCGAACAAATGTAGGTTTACACGCTTGTGCCAAATTTTATCAAAATCGGATCACTTTTGCTTGAGTTATGGTGCTGACAAATATATAAATATATATATGAATTTGAACGAATGGTGTTTTTGGCCTCTGGGGGCCTTAAAACAATAACGTAAATCGGTCCCAGATCCCGGGTCTTACCATAAGACCTACAGTAATAGCTTATTCCCTATATTGGAAATTCGCTAATAAAAAGAAAAACCTCCGCTCCAGCAAATCTGCTGACTAAGCAAATTTCCATTTGCCTGAATTGATATTTAATTAAATCTAAGTTATTAAATTAACATTTAGGTTTAACGAGTCTATAGGTTTGCTGCTACAGGCAAACTAACAAAGTGTGTTTTTCAGTAAAATATCAATAACTTAGTATAAGATAAATAAATTTGCCAAGTGATAAAAATATATCCATAAACAAGCAAACTGCAACATTTTACAATTCTCCATAAGAATAACATGGGAATTTAAAATGGATATTTTAACTTACTAAATTATTTGTTTTTTAAAGCTTTTTAAAAGGTCTGGAGAGAAATTGGGAAATTTTGTGTTTTAAGGGTAAAAATTAGAAAAACCCATTTTTCCCGTTAAACCCCATTCCAATGGTCCGATCATGCTGGTTTGCAAAATCATTCAAGTTTATCCTGCCTTGCACTTTTAAACCAAATTTCATCAAAATCCGAAAAAAATTACTCAAGTTATCGTGCTCACACACATATATTACTCTATATATATAAAATTTGAACGAATGGTGTTTTTGGCCTCTGGGGACATCGAAATGGAAAAGTAAAACGGTCCCGGGCCTAGGTCTTACCGTGCCACTTACGGCAATAGCTACTTCCCTATAGTGAAATTCATTAACCCTCCAAGTGTTATTTGTCGATGCTTCGACACATACACACGGCGAAGGCTCTATGACTGACAAAATCAGATTGAACTGGATCGAGTTAGGTATAATTTTATTTGTCAGATTCAGAGCTTTCTCCGGAGGTCTGTCCCTAAGCGCTTTTCATTTTAGTTCCGAAAATATTGTAGCAGACAGCTGACGTGCGTATTTGTAAACAGCTTGGTTAACCTCGCACCGATGACTGATGTGTTTTAGTACGTTTATCATTGTTTTAGTGTTAAAAATCAAAAGTAGTGATATACGTGGTGCATTATAAGAAGATTTAAGTGATTTTGAAGGGCTGGTTGATGATCCTGAAGAAGTAGGTAGTGATATTGATGTAAATTATCAGCCAGATTCCTAGCTATGGTTAGGCTATGCATTCTTAGCTAAACGCTATGTACTGAAATCTGTTTTTTGCCCATAACTTATTTATTTGCAAATCTACTTCCTTATATTATATATTTGTAATCCTCATAAAATTAAGAACAAATATTGCTATATTTATATACTATATTGGCTATTTTCAAATATTTATAGGCCTATAATTTATACAATTTCATTGAGCGCGAACTTATTTTTTTTCTTTTTTAAATTTTCCAAAATATTTCTTTTTTACCTAAAAAAATTTTTTGAAACAAATGTTCCTTATGTTTTATGTATAATATTGAAGCCCATGATTTTCTAAACAAAATGGTATATAGAACAGTATAATTAACATTGTTTTCAAGCTTCTCAGATCCGTTTTAAAAAAACCTTGCAAATGAGCAAAAAATAGGCAGACATTAAGGCCAAAACAAGGGACACTCGGAGGGTTAAAATCAATGACAGGACACACAGGATAGATGAGAACACAACAAATGGAAATGAGTAAGTGAACTTTAACACTCAAGTTTGAGTATTCGCACATAGGAAATATTGTTATTCACTGTATTAAACCCAACTAATAAAACATTCATTTAGTGCACAACAAGACCCAAGTAACCTGATTGTTGTTCAATGGTACATAACTTTTTATCTTTTTGATCTTGATCTGTAAGTTTTATCTTTGACTATTGGATACAAGTAGACATCCCACTACATGTCGCTAGTTTATTGATCAAAATGGACACAGTCGAATTGTGCCACCGATAGTTTATTGATGTAAATAACTGATTTTTGTAAAATACACCAACTTTCTTCCAACTGGCAACAACCGGTCCAAAAAGATAGGATGTCTACTTTAGTATCTAAGTCAATACTGTCACCCAAGGAACCATCCTTATAATATCTCACTGATAGAACATTAATTATTATACCTTTGCCTTGGCTGCCTGGCGCAGTTCTTCCTTCTTGAAGTTTCTCTGGTACGACGTGATGACTCGTCGTAGTCTACTGTTGAGGTCCTGCATGCTAGGCCACTGAGGTTTGCTGGGGTCCTCGGGTTCACCCGTCCCCCCCTCCTCTCCCCCCACAGCTGGGTTGGGTGTGGCAGGCTGCGACGGGTTCTCTCCCTCCCCTCCCGTCCCAGTCGCTGTCTCTGAACCGTCTTCTTCATCACTCAGTTTACCCAGTTCTTTCTCGTCACTGTAATTGCAGAAATTAATACACACTTGAATTGTTTATCAGATATCTCATAACTAATGTAATTTAAAAGAACATGCCTAATAAACTGCTTTCCTTGTATCAATTACTTCTACGCAGTAAATTACATTTAATGGGAAAACATAGTAATTGTGCTTAAATTGTTTAGCAATTGATAATAGGTCTTAAACGAGGAACCATTTAAAATATGAGCTAGTAAAATATGACTTATCAACTCGATCCTTAAAAATCACAAGGTGATGACATACATCATTTAGTACTTTTATCTTGGCAGCCATAAAAAGAAAACCATAAGAAACGTTTAATGTATTACGTTGTTTGCATTTTTATGCCCAATTGAATAGTGAAAGTATATTATTGATATTGCAAAAAATACATTGGTATGGCAATAATTCTTTGATTTATGCTGACAACAAAATCAAATATTTCCATTGAAGTTTTTTTAGTTTTTGTCTGGGAATCCTCAACCAAAAAGTACAAGATTCTCAGACAACATGATGATTACGGTGGTAATAGCTAACTCCCTTTAGCCTAATTTGAAAACTGCTAAGCTATAGAAGCATAAGCAGAACTCTCTGTACAGATACTGTAATGCCAAAAGCAAACATCAGTTGATACCTTAGACTAGTGATAATATATAAATAATGATTCTTTTTGTGCAGGTATTTTATCAATGCTTTAGAGTGCAGATTGCATTGGGCATCAACAAGCTGCTTGCATTAAATTGAGACTTGGATTATTTAAGATCATGCAATATCGAAATCAAAATTAGTGGACCTCATTAACGTACTGCATTTTGCACTAAATATAATTTGTATTCATTGCAAATCACAAATGATTATTCTGCTTGTATTGAGCCAACTAGTAAATAGTTATCATCTCTCTTTCACAGCACAACATAACATTTACACTTGACTTGTTATATGAACAACTGCCATGAAAAGTTTCAATATTTATTTGCAGTAAAGTGAAGTTTAAACAAAATTAGTTAGAGTGATGGCGCATGAGCTGGGTCTGCGCGCCAGTCTTTATTACTTTGGTATAGTTAGGGTCAGGTCCAAATATGTTCGCATTAGGGTTTCTGGCCGAAGTGCAATCACGGTGAAATCAAAACCATCTTCTGCTATCACGGTGAAATCCTGAACCTCGATCACAGTAAAAATCAAGAACATCCACCTCGGTCACAGCAAAATTGGAAATATCTTCAATCAAGTGAAATCGCAAGCCTCTTATGTAAACAAAACAAAATTGATAACACTACCGCGAAAGCATCGAAATGAGAAAGTTTTCTGCAGTTACAAGATACTGTATTGTGAACCTCTTCTGCGGTCCCGAGAAATCATGAACCTATTTTGCTGTCACGACAATATTTTGAGCATCTTCTGAGGTAAATTACGATTAGTAACCGCAAATCATTAACCTTTTCTTAGATCACAGCTATATGTAAAACATATTCTTTTGTCATGGCAGGATACGTCAAAAACAGGAACATCTTCTGCAGACATTGCGAAATCGTCAACCTCCTCTACAGTCATAAACAAATAGACAGCATCTGCCCTACTTACAGTGATATCACAAACCAGAAAAATCTATAACTTCCGCGGTCATGAAAAAAGAACTTATTCTGCAATGAAAAGGCATCTTCATCGTTTTCCATGATCGTGATAAAACCGTTAACATCCCATTTGATCCACAGACGAAATTGAAAATTTTGGGCTGCTGATATTTGCTTATTGCACAATCTTTATGGCCCGAACCAATCCTGACCCGAAAATATCAAGAGACCTGCAACCACAAATAAAATTTTGCCATTGCTACTTTTTACCATTTTATTTGGACCGAACACTAACAAATAGCTATAATAAATCTATCAAACATACTATAACGGCTGTCTTAAAACCTACAATCTAGATAAGCACTGAAATGTTTCTACAAATAAAACATAAAATAAATGGGCAGCGAGTGTGGTAGTGAGTGTGGCATGGGAAGGGACTTACACTGTGTGGGTGTGAGTGGGGGGACCGCATCTTGCCAGGAAGCTGAGCGCTGGGTCACCTCTCATCTGGTTATAGTTCTCATATCCGTGTTTGTAGGTGCCGATGACAAGGCTACGGTCAGCGTCCCGGTCCCACCATGGCGCCGGGGCTTGGTCGCAGTGAGGGGGATATATCGGCAAGGCGCTGGGGACATCGGACACATGTCAGCCCGTCCGTGCATGCACCATGCCATGCCATAGCCACACCACCTTCCCACCATCTCTTTGTGAGGGAAGGCTTTAATTTTTGTTCAAGAAAAACTCTGAAAGTTTATCTAAGAGATATATCATTTTTGGAAATGCAGCCTTGTGATTTAGTATTTCAGTACACTAGCAAAAATTTGAGTCCAATTGCATGTGACAATGTAAAGTAGGAACATTTGACTAAAATAGTAGGCCAAAATACAGAAACTCGTTTAGGTTTTTATTTATTTGATAAGTTTATGTCCAAGGTATAAATAAATCCCTGAACTAACTTATGCATTTACTCCACTTTCACGACAAATAAATACAATATGTCCAGAGGGTTTTAAACCCTGTATGGAATATATTGAATATTACAAGTATTTCTTTTTGGTAACTTTGATATAAGGAAATGAAAACCAGTACAATGTACAGTGCTGCAATGCAAAAAATAATGTTGACAATATTTTAATTTTCCTCTCATTGCAATATGTGACCCGGGTGGAAGATGGTGTGGCTGGTAAGAATTGAAGCAGGAGGGAGAATGCAAGTGATGATGAGAACTAAAAAATAATAATTATAATCTCTAGACAACTAGCTAGTATCTATTTACAGGTGACTTAAACAGACTTTCTGGATCAAAATCACAAAATAGAACACCTGTATATGTGTATTATTGATTTTCTGAACCAGTTACTATATAAAAAAAAGTAGTCCAAGTAAATAAGTAGTCTTAAAATGTTGGAAACCTTAAGTATGTTAAGGTATGTTTAAGTCTTCCTTTTGACTTTAAAGGTATCCTAATTTCAATATTTGAAATTCGGCAAACATCTTTCCCTATTAGCATAGGTGTTCGTTCAGATCATATTAAAGAATTTGTGTGTTACTTTTAAAATCTATGAAATATCATCAATAATTATTGGAAATAAAATATACAAGTTTATGAACCCCCAGTTGATTTTCACAAACAATTCAAAGCACTGCAAAATCTACAGAAATATTAGTTAGTTGCTAAATAAGGCTATGTAATACCTTAACACATTTTCATAATTTTGTTAAACACAAGCTGATTGGATAACTTAACAAAACAAAGCGACAGTGCCAAACTTGTTTGCACAAAAAGTCCTTCATTTTATGATTTCGACCCTCAAATAAACTTTGGGTGAATTGGAAATAAAAAACTGAACCTGGTGTAAGGGCTACAACTCTGGCAAGCGTAAGCACTGTTAGTCACATGCCAGTACGTGTTGTTGAGGTGACTCACCTGGCTGGCTGGCCATCAGATATGTGATGCACCAGGTCTCCCAGGATCTCGTGTTTGATGTAGTACAACATCCTCACTCTCAACAGAATCCTGCAACAGGACAAGCAAGCAAATCATTCAATTCAATCTGCGGCTCAAAATAACCAAAAATTACTTGTTTATACATGTGACTACTTTAAACGCCTTTGGCAAATTTTGTGACAAATTCTTACTTTCACAGCCACATTTGTGATCGTCTTTTTTTATCGCAGCAAAATTTGTGACGATTTCTCCCCAATTGTGGCGACATCTTATTATTTCCTTTAAACCCAAGTTGCTTCGATTTATCTAATCTGTGGTATTTTCACTCTGATTATGAATGTGACTCACTTGTTGGCGTGGCGAGCGAGGTGTTTCTTGTAGTTACTATCCAGGAAGATGTCCCCGTCGTATCTCTCATGTCTGCTCCAATGATCTAACTCAGTAGGCTCACTAGAAGTCTGTCCAAGCAACCTGGCCTCCTTCATCTTCAACTTCATCTTCCTACGGCCCCCTCTGGGTACTGGGGAATGTAGCCCTGGAAAATAACAGTGGTTCAAAGAATTATCAGCCTACACCATGGATGTACAATATTTAATAACTTTATCTACTCAGATTGTGTGAAATATTCAAGAAATAGACAGCAGCTGGAGTAACTTCCTACTTGACTAATATGTATACAAAGTAGTGATGGGTCGGTACTAAAGGTCAATTGTTGAATCCACCGGACCATTCGGACCGGTATAACTAGTAAGCTAGCTTACCCATATGGTTTCGTGGTATAGCACTTTCACCATTCTCCATCGGAGTTATCAGGTCCCAGATGAAACTCCTGATTTTGTCATCACCTCGGTAGTAGCGAAGGCAATATAGCATCTACAACAAAAGATAGATTTGAACTTTAAACCTCCTACTGTTGCAGGTTGGGAGATAACACTACACAATTGCACCATAAAACATGAATGAGTAACATATACTGTAAGATGCATGATAACAACTAATCTAGATAGTAATCTAGAAAATGAAGTGGATTTTGTTAATCCAAGTCTTTTATTAAATATGTACTTAGTATTAATGCATTTTTAACCAGGTTTAAATATAAAAGTTAGGCTACTCTATTTTACACAATCAATTATAAAGGCAATAGTTTAATAACATTGTTTTCTCTCAGGTATTCAGTATTAATGCATTTTTAACCAGGTTTAAATATAAAAGTTAGTTTAAAATAGAGTTATTTTACACAATCAATTATAAAGGCAATAGTTTAATAACATTGTTCTCTCAGTTATTCAATCCTTAATAATAACTAATTATAAAAAATAGTTATCGTATTATCGACTCACCAGTATTCTGGCAACATCTTCAATGTCACTCTCTTTCCAGCCATCTCTGAACTGACCATGGCTCAGTATATCAGTCCAACGACCCCACCTGCCAAAACAATGTCATATATTACACAGTACAGTCCAACCTCAGTATAACGAATCTGAAGGGACCAAACTGAATATTCGTTATATCAAGGATTTCGTTAAAATGAGGTTCGTTATATAGAGGTTATGTTTGCAGGAATTTCGCTAAGTCGAGGTTCAGAACCAGCGTCGGTCAATATAGGTCGGGGGATTAGACAAAACACAATTAAAGTAGCATAGGCTACAATACTTTACAGTACAGTGTTTACATTGTACAGTAAAACCTAAATTATCCGGCATAAAAAAGGGGAGGGTTCTTGAATATTGCGCAATCATGATAATGGCATTGTCCTTGGTACAGGTTAAAAACTGTAAGTTTAAAATCACAGCTTGTTCTAACCCTCCTAACACCTAGCCAAACACTGTATTCCGTAGTCATAAACCATGTAAAGAACAAAACAAAACAGTAGTAGAAAGTTTTGTAAGCTATAGCTCGTGATAGGCCGGTAGGCTGCTTACAGTACAGTACTGATTTATCACAACAGAGGAATGTCAATAATAATCATTAAATATAGCATTGGTGTTGTTAGTTCAAACAAATCGTATTGAAAACAATAAATTATTATGTAAGTCATTATAAAAGTGTATAATCATTGCCAACTTAAAAATAATAAAAACACTCGAAAAAGGAATGTTAAAATAACGATGTTGCTATTCTTTCTCTTTGGTTTTGTTTTTATATTCTATTTTAGGTTTCTCTTTATCCAAAAAATTGTACAATTCACCATAGTAACTTATCGCCCAATCACAACTTACTAAACATTACGTCGTCATCAGTCCTCAGTGAATGAAATCAGTTCTCAGTTGCAACATAGCGCGCGCAGCGACAGTAGTATAGTTTGTGTATTCATTGACAGTAGACAGAGAGATGGTGTAAAACGGAGCAGACGAATGTTAGCGATGACGTCACCTTTCATTTCATTTGATAAAGAAACAGATTTTTCAAAAACAATAATGGGGTGGGGGATTTGTTATATCGAGGGAAAGACGTAGACAATTCGTTATGCAGAGGTTAAATTCGCAATGTAGAGGTTCTGACAATGATAAATTCGCTATATTGAGGTGTCTTATTTTAGCCGAAATCACGAAAAATTCGTTAAGTCAAGGTCGTTGTTATGGTTTGTTCGTTATGTAGAGGTAAAATATACATTGTGTCTTATGGAGAGTTCTAGGGGATTTAAAAAAATTCGTTATATCAAGGAATTCGTTGTATCGAGGTTCGTTATATCAAGGTTAGACTGTACTAAATTAACTTTTAATTTCAGTACTTACTGCCTCACGGAGGATAAGGAAATAGCTAGATAAAAACTTTGACTATCACTAGCAAAGGCATTAAAATTGATCAACTCAAAAGATTGGAACAGAATAGTCAAGATTAAACATATGTAAAGAATTGTTGACATATGCTCTTTAATAATTTTTAAACAAATTAATGTAATGAAAAAAGGTTTGATAACAGATAAAAGCTATTTACATTACAGTGTAGTAAGGGTGTCTTTACATCACGCAGGTGAATTCTCCTAAGTGATGTAAACAAGCTCTTGCGTAACATGTAACGTACAAGATTTTACCTGACAGTGGAGGTTACGAACACTATTTTTCATTATCCATTTCACTCATCTTCTAACAGTAACGTTCATTTACAAACAAAAGCTAGGTTAGGAAAATTCTTCAACACGTAACAATAAAATTCAAGCGCACAGCTGATTTCTAGCGTTGTACGTTGTTGGCTCCATAGAGGTATATTTTTTAAGTTAAGCACTCAATGTTACTTAAATGGGTTTCATTACCTCACCGAGTGAGTTTTTTCAACTTTACATCACTCGTGATGTAAAGAAGTTGTATACATCACGCTTGGGATAGGGAAGTTTAACATGGCGGGTTAAGTAAAAATGATTTATTTGGTTGGAGTTAATTAATTGCTGAGAAAGCCTTGTCAGTTACCTCCAGCAATGGTGACTCAGTTGTCAGAAAAAAACACTGAACTGAAATTCATGTGTTTTGTCTACAAATGTGTTGAGTAATAGTCTCCTACACATAGCTGTTTCAAGCCATCCTAAATCTAATTTTAAATCTTGGCCAACTAACCAAACTAATTTAACCGACAGTAGTTTATGATTAGTTAACATCCGTACTGACCCAAACGTCAACAAGCCTCGTTCCACCTTGAAGCACTCACTCCTCGTCCACGCTCCATACACAACTTCCCCTTCCTTGGGTACAAAGCCGTCGGGGAAAAACTTCTGCTTGAGCTTCTTCAGTTTCTTGTTGCGCCTAGCACCTCTGCCGCGGCCCACACCGATGGCCGTATCGTTGTCTTGGTCGTCACCTTCCTCTGCACTCGAGGACTCCAGATCTGACATGTCCATGACAGCTTCATCGTGACCGTAGCGCTTGATCTGTGTGCGTCGCCTCGGCTCCGATATCACCAGCTTGCTCTGTCGAACATTAAATGATATTATTAGTTTTAGTGACAAGATACATGATAAGCTTTTGCAAGAGAAAATGTCTTGGCAAAAATTGTTAATTAAAATAAAGTAACTTGAGTATGCCAATACAGTGTTATTCGTTGTTTACTAACTATTTTCAAAATAAGAAAACAAACTGTGATTATTTAAATTTTGAAGTTGTACAGTCCCATACCTTGCGGTGGAATTTACGTACATTTCAAGGATTTTTTTCAGTAATCAGAATTTACGTTCAATTCCCGGGTTTTCCAGATCAGCTAAGCACCCTGACACAGAGCACTTTTTAGCCTTCAACCAATTAGTGGTTTCCATTGACTTTTTAAAGTTTTGTGAAAAATATGGTATTAAAAAGATTGCGGATGTCCAGGAAAATTGAAATAACTACTTTACACTTGTCTATCACTCTTAAACCAAATTATTATTTTAACAGCCAGTTAAAAGCCATACCTCTTCTCCCCTTTCTGCAGTGTCAATGTCCGCTCTCTTAGCCCACTTTTTCCAAAAGTCAGGATCGTCAATGTCAATGTCTTGCCGGATGCCTGATGATGCAAAGCTGGCCTTGGAGAAGGTAGAACCTTTCTCAGATTCTAATGTAATGATCTGAGTTCTTCTCTCCAATATTTGGTCTATATCTTCCTCACAGAACTTGTCAGAGGCATTGTCCTCCTCCATGATAGCACCATAGGCTCCTGTAATTGTTAATACAATTGGAATGAATCATTGTTGAAAACACTTTAAAGTTTCTAAAAAACAAAAAAAAATTCATTGATTTGGCATTGACTTGGCATTAACGGTGAAATGTTGTCTTCTGACAAAAATTAACTGTAAGATGGAAACTGAGATAGAGACAGATAACTTACCTCAAAGTTAGTAAAGGAGAGCAAGGGAAAAGTGTGCTTGGAATCGGATAAGGATCTGTTAAATAGATCATAAGCTCAGGTTATGTGGATACAAGTCATCTGCAATAGGGAAAACAAAATTTTTTTTTAAATTAGGGATGGACGAGATTGGATTTTTAGTTTGAGGCGAGACGAGATTTTTTATTTCTCATAAAATTTCGAGACGAGATTGAGGCGGGATTTCCCTTCTCATACATAATGGGAAATGCACGTTTGACATTTTACCTGATTTTGTAACATTGTTAGATGACTGTTTAAATGCAAAAATAATAATAATAGGCAAGAATATTTATTAGACTTAACAAAACTTCTCAAATTATAAAACAATTAAATAGTGTTTGGCCGATTCCTGAATTGGCAGATTCCGATTCTACAACTTTGGTTTCGATTTTCGATTCCGCACTTAATACCAATACCTGTTAAAAACTCATTTAATAACGCATATAACTTATGATATAACTTTATTTATTTAATCTTTATACAATAAGATAACTGCATTGCTATTGATTAAGTTTACATAGACAGAGACAATAACCAAACTCTGTATTTTTTGAAGTGGTATCGAAGGTATCGAGGTATTGAGAATCGGAATCGGCCCATTCCTACAATTAAAGTAATATTTACATGTATTACATTTACTTTCTGCAGGTGTTTTATATATATATATATATTATTAATCTTGTCTTGAAAAAATCTTGATAAAAAATCTCGTCTCGTAGAACAAGATTTAAAATTTCCAGAAAATGTCCCTAAATTTCAAGACTTGTCTATCCCCCAAAAAAAATCTAATTTGAAGGGAAATCTTTCAAATCTAATACTACAGTACACTCGCGATTATCCAGTATATTATACAGTAAAAAAAAATAGCAATTAATTTATAACTTGTTAAAGTTAATACTTGAACAGACCATTTTAAATATTTTGTAACATACTAATGATCTGCATCATAACCTAGAAAATTAAAATCACACAGTGCTAGGTTGGCCGTTGACAAAATAAATAGCAGAAGAATTACTGGCTCGCATCGCCTTTTGTCAAGTCATTGTAATTATGATAATTTGATTTTAACATGAAATGTCAAAGTACAGCTCAGGCCAATCAAAAAGTAATTGTCTACTTTTTTAAGTAGCAAGATTGACCTTATTATGTTTTTAAATACTGCAATCTGTTGATAACATAATTTTAACAATACTGTATTCAATTTTTATTCAAACTATTAAGTTTTGAGCATGATTAGGTTATTGTTTCCTAAAATAGTCGTTAATGAGAAAGGAAGGATACATAAAGAGATAAAGAGAAAAGAATCATTTTACTTTATACCTCTGAAGAAGCCCCTGAAAGGGGTGAAGTATCAGTTTAATGTAACTTTTATGTGTTCTATTCTCCTGGGACTCTTTACTCAGGTGAGATAGTTGTGTACCCTTTTTTCTCCTAAACAATAATTATAAAGCCAAGTTGTTTTTTTTCCTTTTAAAAAAACTACCCTGTTTTCTAAAATATTGACTTTTGCTATGTATTGTTAAAACGTACAATTTTCAATTATTAGATGTCCTAATGTGGTACCGTCGAAACCCCTAACCTCAAATTTTAAGTGACCTCCAAATTATCAAAGACTAGCTGTAACCCGCGGGCTTTGCCCCGTTTAACTTCTTAATTTTCAAGATTATCTCGTTCGCATGGCTCAATCACGTCCTGGTTGAAGTTTGTTCGCTACGCTCACTCACCTTTAGGTTGGAGCTCGTTCGCTGCGCTCACTTGCCTTCAGGTTAGCTCGTTCGCTACGCTAACTCGCCTCCAGGTTGAAGTTCGTTCGCTACGCTCACTCACCTTTTGGTTGCAAATTAGCTGTTGTCATAAATGTAAAAGAAATAATAGTGCTGCACCCTGTTGGTAATTTTTGTAACTTTAATGCTATTGAACATCACAGAACAGAACCAACTTGTTTAATTGAAACAGCTGTTAAGATTCAATAATTTCATTTCTCATAAGGTTAACATGGGAAACTCCAGAGCCACTGGGGCGGAGCCCGAAAGGATTTTCGAAATAAGAATATGCCTATATGTTAATCGGGAATGTGAGCTATCATCATGCCAAATTTCAGCCCAATCCGACCAGTATTTTTCGCGTTCACTTGTCACAAACATACATCCATACATCCATACATCCATACATCCATACATCCAAACTTTCTCATTTATAATATTAGTAGGATTCCCAGTTACAGAAATAGTCTCGACCCCAACAGCCTCAGTTAATCGCGAATGTACTGTACCAACAAATTTTGTTGTCAAACATTATTTAATACCTTTTTTTAATAAGTCCTCGATCTCTTTCTTGGACAATGTCTTGCTGTTGATCTCCTTGCCTCCCTGGGCAGTGTTCATGCTCTGCAGGATAGCTTTGTCCAAACCCAGTTTCAACGAGGCCTTGTCGAACATCTCCCTCTCATAAGTGTTGCGACATAACAGTCTGTAGACTTTCACCATCTTTTGCTGGCCGATTCTATGACATCTAGCTTGAGCCTGGGCATAAATGGGAAAGATGTAATGGTAGGACATTTCATTACGAAAGTAATACTTTAAATGGTTTTCTGCCTCAGACAGTTCAACAGTTTCTCATGTATACTAGAGTTTATGTGCTTTATATTGATTCAACCCTTTCCATGCTTTTTTTAAGTTCTTAATATGCTTATTTTTAACACTTGGACCTCTCACAAAGTATCACAGACTGTATTTTTTTTACTACTGAATCATAATGTAATAATATAAAATATTGCAATATATAACTTTCAGACGGCAAAATTATGTTTGATGTAGTTACTGTAAAGCTATGATAGGTACTGGTACATTAGGTAACAATGATATAAGGGTAGCAAAGAATACTGTGCTGGTGTTGGATTTTATCTCTCTCATTCTGTCACAATGGAAGATTAGTGGAAACCTTCACTCACAGACAATCCTTGAATTATCGTGAGACATTACACTACCTCTTGATATAGACAGTGTAGGAAGTATGTATTTTACCTGTAGATCATTTTGAGGGTTCCAGTCGCTGTCGTAGATGATGACAGTATCGGCTGCAGTCAGATTGATGCCCAGACCTCCAGCCTTGGTACACAACAGGAACACAAACCTGTCAGAGTCTGGTCTGCAGAACCTGTCTATGGCTGCTTGTCTCAGGTTGCCTCTGATACGGCCGTCGATACGCTCAAATGGATATCTGTAAACAGACAAGATTCAAGATTCAAAGAGTCTTTATTCACACAGTACAAATTTTCGTACATGAATAGTGTCTATTGTTACTTACTAGGCTACCTAAATTAGCAATAAGAAACATTTAAACAAAATACTATAGGCTACATTATTTTAAATTGAAATTACGATAATATTCTATTTTGGAAGGTGCAAGGTCAAGTAAGAACCTTCAGTTTTTGCAGATACTCCACTAGTACAAACCTACTTTTAATTGAACTTTACTAATCAATCATTACTAATTGACAAGGAATCTACAAATTGGTAAGTTTTGATAATGGCTTAAGACTTAACAAGAAATATAAATGCTTACCTTACTGAAAAACAAAGAGAAGAAAAGGCATGAATAAACATGTAAATATTATATAGAATTTTTGGAGCCACTAGCTCTTTTTCAGTGGTAGTCTTTGTTCTTAAAGTAGGTTCAGGTTGTTCTTTTTGTGAAAAGTAGTAACTAAATCTAAAGCATCCCCCAAACAAACATTTTATATATTTTTTTTACTATCTCTTGTAGGCCTGGTGTTACGAAAAACATCCACCAAAAATCCAAAATACATAAAAAATAGCTGGTAGAGTGAAAATTTGTGATAATCTTCAAGACTTTTTTATTTCTAAAAAAGCAAGGGAAAAAATATTGACTGCTAAAAAATTAAAGGAAATAAAATAAATATGCCTGTAATTATTTTTATACAGCCTAAAAGAATACTCACTTTCTATATAGAAGATAATCCTCCAGAATATCTAGACATCGTACCATCTGACTGAAAACTAGAACTCTGTGACCACCACTTTTCAGTTTTGGCAGAAGTTTGTCTATCAGAACCATTTTACCAGAGGAGTTGATAAGTGCCTTGAAATAAGCATCGGGATCATCCCCGTGGGCAATACGGTAATCATGTTGAATTTGATCTTCAGCACCTTAACCACAAGGAAAGATCAAATAGTCAGTACACTTGTAACAAAACATTACAACTACATATTTAAATGGAAACTCTCACCAAAAACAACATTACAAACATCATTTTACAGAAAGACTTAGGGCTCAACAGATTTTAAACTTCTTGATTAGAAAAAAAAGAGATTACTTTCTAAGAGAAAAAATATGAGTTTCACAGAACACAATTTTTTTGTGTACAGTATATGTCAAGCATGTTATGATAGGTAAGTTAATTATGGAGGTAGTGCAAATATTGTGTGTATTACAAGCACAAACATTCATTGTCGCTCTCGAATTGTATGGCCACACTCACCCGAAGGTTTGTGCAGCAATCTACATTTCTCGAGCGGCAATGGCGTACTTTGCGCTCTTGATACACAAATAGCTATTCTCTTTATAAATAGTCACACTTACCATTGAGCAGATAAGGATGTATACAACATTTCCTTAGTTCCATCATTGTATTCATCAAATTAGGCACATTGGCAGACGTTGTCCCTTTAGAGAGGAAGGAGAAATTTCTTTCCAATATTCCTCTGTAGTATTTTTTCTGGATGTTGGTTAGCTCTACCTAGAAACATCAAATTGAAGACCGTAAAAAATTTATGATAAAATTAACATTTACCTGCAATAAGCATCAAGTATAGGAATAAAATAGCATGTGTAAGCCTTTTTTTTGCACCTATTTGTGTGAAATTTGGTATCAATTTTTAGAAAACCAAAAAATCCATTCTTTTATTGTTTGTTATATTACAGATTATTATTGCTGTTATTGTGCTCACGAGTCCACTTTAGTGTGAATTCATCTAACCTAAAGTAGTTAAGGAATGGCCACAACAATGAACAATACCTGGCTTTTTACGCTCCCTTCACATTAAAAGGTTTTACGCTATGTCTATGTTTCTTTCACATTACTTGGCAAGGTGAATATGTTAAATGTCTCAATAAACGTTGTAACGGTTGTAAATTTTGACCGGCTCTAAGTTGATATTTACAACCGTTAACAAGCAAAAGGTGTTAGCAGCGCGGACAATAAGCGGGTTCGGGGACAAAGGTCAATCCCGACAACAGCCACTAACCTACGACGCCGGCCGCTGGAGACCGCTGAACACGGAAGTAGTTCCTGAAATCACCGTTGGAGCTCGCTACTTCTGAGGCGAATAAAACCGGAACCGCTAGCCGTTCCAAGGAGTCAGTTCAGTTCAGTTGAAAGCAGTTGAAGACCAACCTACAGTCAATATGACCTGGTAGAATTAGCCAATTGAAATTCCAGTTCATTTTCTCTGGTGTTGGCGTATTTTAAATTCTCCAGTCAAGTAAGTGTTGTCAGACTGTTTGTGAAGGAAGACTTGCAGATTTCAGCTATTGAGATATTTAGTGAGACTGGCATTAACGTTTGATATTAAGAGTTGACAGTGAAAATCAGGAATTGAGACGATCAAAGTCAAATAGTGAAGAAGCCCAACTGAAATCCCAGTTTAGTATCTCTGGTGTTGGCCCGTCTTTACTCTCAAGTCGAGTAGTGCTGTAAGTGTAATTTAGACTATTTGTGAAGTTAAGCCCTTGCAGTTATATTTCATATATTTTGGTTTATTAATTATTTTACTTTAGAAAGACCGGCGTGTTAGCCTGGCCAGTAGGGAATTATTTTATTTTATTTTATTAATTTGACTTTAGACAGACCGGCGAGTTAGCCTGGCAAGTAGGATTTTATTTTATTAAATTGTTGTAGGTTATAAAGACCGGCGTGTTAGCCTGGCCAGTAGGGAATTATTTTAGTTTATTTTATTATTTTACTTTAGAAAGACCGGCGAGTTAGCCTGGCCAGTAGGTAATTAGTTCAGTTTATTTAATAATTTTTTACTTTAGAAAGACCGGCGAGTTAGCCTGGCAGTTAGGGTGACATTTTACTGCATCGGTTGATTTGATTAAGACCGGCGAATTAGCCTGGCACGAGACACGCGAGAACACCCAGCGTTGGCAATTGTTTTAAAGGTGATCATTAAAGCGATGATGAGTGTGATGACACTGTTGACCCCCTGTGGTGAGGTGTCACTCTGAGCTTTAACAGACAATAAAGACGTTTTATTCAAAATTGAGTAGCGGAAGGACCTTGGAGGTTCCCAGCTCGACTCGAGCGATTCCGAGCATTTTATTTGTAAGGCGATACGGTAGAGGAGCGTAGTACGGGAGAGCCTCAGATAGGAAGGCCGCGACCCCGGCGCGCCGTAGCACCTTACAACGTCATCAGTGTCCAATTTATTAATATGATTGTAAACAATAAAAAGTGCAATGGCTAATCTATTTACATTTGCTAATGGGCTCCTATACAAAAAAAAAACTTGCATTTAACTACATGCGCCACTGACTTATGGCCATAACGCGACAACCGTCCGGTTCAGTGGCAGTGGATGGCTGCAAAACGACATATCGTAACCATCTAGTGTGAAAGCTCTTCTTAACACTACCAATAAAATTTACGTGTATGGTTACAAAACGTCCAGCAAAAATTAGGGATGGTCGGGATTAAACTTTTATTTCGGGACGTGATTTTTTCCTGTGCATAAAAAAGGTTTGTTTTAAAAGTCTTGAGTATTGCAGTTAACAAAAAAAAAAACAAACAAAATCAATTTTTAACGTTTGTGGCACTGATCTATAAAAACAAAAAAATGGTTTAAACTTTACAGGTCACGACGCGACCGTCGAAATTACCCGCGGTCACGGCACGATCATCGAAATAACTCGAGGTAACGGCATGATCGTCGGTATGACTCCGCGGTCACGGTGTCATCGTCGGTATTACTCGCGGTCACAGCGTGATCGTTGGTATGACTAACGGTTAATGACTTCACCTCCTGCGTTCGCGGAACTATCGTGAACATCTCTCGCAATAGCGGCGTAATCATCACTCGCAAAGCGACAAAATCACCAACGATAGTATCAAACCCCATCCGAAAAATTCTCGAATCAAATGTAATCCCGTCCCGTTTTCCCCAAAAATTTCCCAAAATTTCAGGACCCGACCATCCCTAGCAAAATGTTATGGTGTGAAAGGGTCAATACTATGTCCTTAACTATGGAAAGACCCAGAATGCATTGTAAACAAACACCTACCTCTACAACAGTCTCCTCCTTGGGTGCGATAGTCTTCTCAACATCCTCTTTGAGTCTACGTAACATCATCGGCTTGAGCAGCAACTGCAGCTTCTGCACCTCGTTCTCCGTCTTGAGAGCGCCAAACTCCTGTAGGAACGCATCACTGCTGGTGAACTGTTGCGGTTCCAGGAAGTTGAGCAGAGAGAACAGCTCGTTGACGTTGTTCTGCAGAGGTGTGCCAGACAGCAGCACTCGGTGTTCCTAAACATTTACAAGGGGTTATCACACCATATCGACCATTGGCTGACACGTCAGGCTCAGAGTTTTTATGGAACAGTTGTCTCTTAACAGTTAAACTAAGCTTCCACAGCTTCTCAATTCATTTATCTGACTTATTGTTGAAAATTTCCTTAACACTTAAATCCCCTTCCCCTGAAGATCTCCTTTTCTCTTCAACCTACTCTCTAAAGAAGTCCTACATCAGAATGAAATATGGGTGTTACAGTTTGTGTTCTTTATTGAATATCTATTAGCCCCTGGAATTTTTGCAGGTAAGTTAGTTTTCTGTTCCATCATGGTTGATTTTGGGAGAAAGCAAAAGAAACAAATAAGCACAATCATATTTAATTTTGCTAAATTGGTTTAAATTATATTGTAATGTTTTAAAATTGTTTTGCAATTAATAAACCATAGCCTACTTAACAATTGAAACAGTAAACATTTCACAGTTAGATAACAGTGCAACAATGTGTTGTTTCCATATAGTAATTTTTATTAAGGTTAAAACTTTTTTATTTGTATTTTTAACGGTAATTTTAAAACAATACATTATTTGTTATTTTATTTCCCAGTCTTTACCTGTATGTTTGGCTTTCTTTGGATGACTTTTAAAACCAATACAGTGTCTCATGTACGTGTCTTGTCCTGGTATTTGGACTCTTATCTTTGATAATAGCTACTCGAATGTGGGGACAGACATTTGAAAATAATGAAAAAATAATTTTGTCATTCCTCAACTGTAGAAATAGAGTATAAAATGCTCCATGGAGCTGTCTGTTCTCTAGAATCGGATGAAACTAAATACTTCGGTGGTGTTTCCTCTTTCTTCTGTAGTGGAACAAACACAGCATGGCCAACTACTTTTTAGGTCTTGACAGCACCATTTCTAAGACACGACTGATTCAGAGTTAATTGCACTCTATTTATTGTCGCCGGAACAGTGTGTTCTGACATTCGACCTAGGGCGGTTCAACCGGAACTGGCGTCTAGCAGTTTTGCCGGTAAGTGTGTCCCTGGCCTTATTATGCAACCCAGTGTAAAATTTATTTTATATTAACATTATCCTTAATTAAATGATACGGCTCTTACTATTCCTAAAACTATCCCATTCCATGATAAAACCCCATGGTCATGGATCAACTAAAATAAACTTAATAAGTTAACAAAAAAGCAATTTTCGAACATAATCAACTTTTTAATCACATCAGTAGCTGCACATCATAATTATAGGACATTTTCTTTCTTTACAAACACTTACCAGGCCTTAAAACGATTTCCCTGACCATCTCTCATTTATTGGGTTAGCAGAAACCCTTTAGGCTATCAATATTTTTGGGCTGAATTGCTTGGGTAGTTAGGAAGAATGTAAAAAGGTCAGATTTCAGGGATAATAAATTTGCTTACTATGTTGATTATAACTGACAAAATACCCAGAGACATATACAAACAAATACAGAAAATATAGGAGATTACACTTACCAAACTTAGTGTCCTAAGGCCTTCAAGTAGTTTGCAATTTCTGTTCTTGAGACGGTGAGCTTCATCAATCACGCACAATCTCCAGTGAAATTCTTTCAAATCATGAAAATCTGTTATGATTATCTCAAATGTTGTTATGAGAACGTTGAATTTTGGAAGATCTTTTAATAGATTTCCTTTATCATTCTTATAATACATTTCATATTCTTGCAGCATATTTCTACTAGCAGATCTGAAACAAAAAAGGTGGTTGGTCTGTTTAGATCATTAAACATAAACAAACAATAAGTTGCAGAACATAAAGTGTGCATGTGTAAACCATAATGTAAAATGTATTGTTATTTTATAAATGTGTATAATTCACGTGCAAAATTGTTTGAAAATGATTACTTGTTCATTTAAAAAAATCCAAGTCAAAAATGGGTAAATTTTATATTATACTCACGATCCATGGTAGACTATGACATTGAGATCCGTCCAAGCTTCAAACTCCCTCTGCCAGTTGGGAATTGTAGATAGTGGAGCTATCACAAGGAATGGGCCTCTGATTCCGTACTCATGTACTGCGTTGATGAAGGTCAAAGACTGTATGGTCTTGCCCAAACCCATCTCATCTGCTAATATACAGTTGCGCCTGAAAAAATAGCTCAATGTTTAGGGGTGTGCGATGCAACATTTTTTTTTCGATTCTCTGCATCGATGCGATTCAATCGATTTGATGCAGCACGGCATGATTTTCTTTCAAAATTATTTACAACATGTGTTTCTGTAATGGATAGTTCACCTTAAAAAAACTATCCGCGGTACTATCCTGATAATCAGACCAATTCGTATACAAGGCAAAAACGTGGCTCGGATTCCACTATGAACTGAAGGTCCCTTAGTTGCCATTAGCTGTATGGGCTATTAATTTACAGCTGTGTCTAAGGAATGTCGGCATTAGTCACTAACAAGACTACAAGATCACGCCACTCATCCTACACTCATCTCCATTCATACTTGGCTTAAAATACGACCTACTTTGTATCGTCGCCATTTAATAAGAAAGAAAGAAAGGTTAAAGTAAAAAAATGTACTGAATAAAATTATGAACAAGAGGATGGTTGCTGACCTAACCTCCCGCTGATGGACACTGCTAATTTTATGGTGGGCCTAAGGAAATCCAGACTTCACTAACAATTAGAATAAGCCTATACCAAAGCAATCATTATAATTGATCTGTATTAAATAAAATTAAATTATTTTATGATGTACGGTAACTTAATTTCCACTTTTATATTTTTGGCTTTCAATACTTCCGGTTCATTCTTAGTATCAGGACAAACCAAAAAAGTTCAGTGTTTATTGTCTATTTGATACATTATTACATGCTATGTAATAAATAGATATAAAATAAAAAAATAAAAATTGAAATTAATAAATGTTTGTATTAAACTTAAAGAGTTCAAAGAGATCAGTAAGTAGGCCTACAAAAAAGGTAATATTTAATAATTAGAATTTAAATCGTTATATCTTCAACATTTGTTAAACTATGAAAATAAGTCACCAAGTCTAGCTGAAAACAGATTCATAAATGAGGATATTTTTTATATACAGAATAATAAAAAAAAAACACATTTTAAAAACTTTTATTTCTTAACTTTTTCCCTTGAACAGGTCAATATTTTTTCACTCATTATCAACCAAAATTATCGCTCATAATTTTGCGAAAGAAGCCGATGTTGGAATAGACTTTTGGCAATCTATTCTTGATACCGATACCAATGTCCAATCGGCACACCCATATCTAAATCGATACATCGTGATGTGATCAATGCATTGGAAAAACCAAATCCATGCATCGGGATTTCGATGCATGCTGAATCGAATTGCGATTCAATGCATCAAATCAAATCAAATGACATTCCAAGCCACAGATTAGCTTTGTTTCACAACGGGCTCTATTATGAAAAACTGATTGCACTTTGTCCTTATGATATGAATTCATTTTTATCCTGTAAACTGTAATCTTAATATTTGAATATATTTATTATGTGTAAACTATTTATAATGCATGATTTGTACTGACATGTCACATATTCATTGCTGATATTCAACCTCTGTATTGTGAATTTTTGCAATGAATAAATAAATTTGATTTGATTTGAATTTCAATGCATTTTTGCTGTGTCAAGTTTCTGACCATAAAAAATACAAACTTTACTCAAGATTGGACCAGCGACCGGTACTTTGGTATTATACCTAATAATTATAGCTTTGTTATTTAAACTAATTAAAATCTTATTTGGAAGTTGTTGTTAAGGAAATAGACAGGAAATCAGGCTTACCTTTAAATAAATCCATAGAGACACATAAAATAATATCACAAAAGTATAAATTTTCGCAAGTGGTCAGTGACCACAAAAATTTCTACTTATAATTTTATGTGCCTCTATGGACTTATTTAAAGGCAAGCCTGCTTTCCTGTCAACTTCCTTAATAATTCCTGGCAAATGCCCAATCTTTTTATCAGATAACCTTATTTGGAAGTTGATTCATCGATGTGGTCGGTATAATACCAAAGTACCCAGCAACCTTTTGAATACCTAGCTATTTTTATTAAAATTAACCGATTTTTTATGCACATCAGATTTAGTCTAAAATTAGTAAGGTTTTATACATACAGAAGTATAATACACTGTAAAAGATTAACAAATTGATCAATGTCTCTTACCCATTGTACCACGAAAACAGCAGCCAATTGAGCCCTTCAAGCTGATAAGCTCTCAAAGTGTTTTGGTTGTTGTACACTGGAGATTCATCAAGCTTCTCCCAATCGTTAGGGTTAGGTTTTTTCTTGGGCTACAAATAAAGAAAACACGAACCATTTAATTTGCAAAGAGAATTTGAAAGAGTACATAAAAATTGTAACATCTACCCTTCAATAAGAGTGAAAAATGTGACACCAGTGCACACAAACGGCATCAACACGAAACACTCATCACTCATTAACACTGACTAGCTCTATTTTCCCCTATATCGAGTTATCTTCAGTCTTTGCTCAATAGTTACAACTGATGTTTATCACTTTGTATCATGGTGGAAGAAAAAAACATATTCCCGTCATATGCTCACGTCTCCCATATTGCAAACACCATTTTATAATTTAGAAAAAAATATTAAAACAATAACAATAAAACCAAAACAAACATATACTTATATCATATGGCAATACAATCAGGTGATTTTTTTTTACAATCTGGGTGACGTCAGCAAATGAAAGGAATAGCCAAGGCCCCACTAGAAAAACAGGCCATGCTGCAGGATCCATGACGTCATACTTGTTGATATATTCACTGCAATATCCCATAAGTTTTAGGTGAATAAGCTGGCTGTTTGTCAGATTTTAACGTTAAGATTTTAGTACAACTATCCACCACTGTGAGGTAGTGTGGCGCTGACCGCGCTGCAGCATGGTTTTTCTAGTGGGGCCTTGGAATAGCACACCTAGCCTATGTTTGTTTTCCTTCCACCATGACTTTGTACAGTGTTTTATAATTTGCTAGTATACTGTGGATGACTTGTTATAAACACATGTTACAAGTTTTTTGTTTACTTTTCCTTATAGGGAATAAGCTATTGCCGTAGGTCTCATGGTAAGACCTGGACCCAGGACCGATTTACTTTCTTGTTTACTAGGGTTTTGACGTCCCTAGAGGCCAAAAAGACCATCCGTTCAAATTCATATATATATATATATATATATACACACACACACACACACACACACACACACACACACACACACAAGTCCGTTAGCACGATAACTCAAGCAAAAATTATTAAATTTAGATGAAAAAACCCTACATGTATTCGAACCAGCAAGATCGGATTATGGGAACAGGGGTTTATGGCGGTTTTTATGGGGTAAAAATGGGGTTTTCCTACTTTTCACCCTAAAAACATAAAATTTTACAATTTTTTCCAAACCATTTTGTAGAGCTCATAAAAACAAATAATTAAGTAGCTGAAGTTGTTGCATGCCGAACGGTTAAAATTCCAAAAAAGTGTAAATTTTAAATTGCCATGTTATTCTTATGGAGGGTAAAGAAACTGTTAAGGCCTGTTCACACCGGCGTAGCCAGACGTCTGCAGACGTATTCGGTGTATTAATACGTCGCCAGTGCACTGTTCACACCGCAGCTACGTCTGACGGCTACGTAGCCGGCAGTTGTTTGTTTATTTTACTATACTAGATAACCTGTTGCTCGAAATCGAGCAAAAATGCAACTTGAAATAAAATAATGAAGAACAAAAAACATAAACAGCAAAACCTCTATCAAAGAGTCACTCTAAAGTAATTTATATGACTGATTATTGGAACGTGAAAAATATTACGTTGTAAAAAATTATAAAAAGTAATCTAAGGTACAATATTTAAATGATTTAATTATTTTGGTTATCTCTTATGTACTGTAGGCCGCGGGTGCCCTCTATGAAATCGTAGATGTCAACCATACACTGTAAAATAAGCTTTTCAGACCAATGTAATGTAGCAAGCTAAATCCCTCTCTTGACGCCAACCAGTACGACACGTACGATAGCATTGTTAAATTATTTCTACGATATGTTCTGTTTTAGGCATGTTTAAATTAGGTGTCCGAACCAAAGTCTCCGGTTAGGAACATAAGAGTAGATTTAACGACGTATCTAGAACGGATTAACGTTAAACACTATTAGTTTTTGAAATTAAGAAAAAAACAATGATTTATTTAGCCAGGTGGTGCTCTTTTTTCAGCATTAAAATAGCTGCGACATCTATACAGCTAGCATCATTGTAGAGAGGGAAGCCACTTCTTTGGTCTCTTACTATGCACATAAGAATCTAACTCGACTCCTAGGAGCTCTCGTCCCTATAAATTTCTGCCACAGTTTTAAAAGATTAGGCAAATGGCAAATTGGGCACTGTGACCCTATTTCCCGCATATTTTTTTTTCATTTTTGTTTGAATGGTTTTACATACGCTGTTGGGTTCCAGTGCCAACGTCGTACTTATAGATCTGTGCGTATTCAGGATCATGGCCTTCTTGAGGAATTAGATTACCTACTCGGTGGTAAAACTTGTCATGGATCTTGAAATTGTAAATACCCTGTGTGATCCTCTCGTCAAAATGAGCTTCAGAGCTGACCATGGCAAAAGCGCAATTGAATTGACGAATTTTACCCAGATAATTTCTGGATCCAAGCTTCACAGCCCTGTTTTCAGATTGGGAGTCTCCAATAAGTTCCTGAAAGTATGGGGAAATTCGCAAATGAGGTAAATGAACCTTTCATTTATGGCAACAAAGAGTAAAAATTGAACTGTTTCGGCCAGTCTTTTCCTGCTTAAAATGTAAGCCACCAAAATGTAAAAATTTAACGTTAATTTGTCGGAGATTGGATGTATCACGACAGCGGTACTGCCACTCTGTATCCGTCAAATTGGGAGGATGATGCAAGCGGTCACGTTTGCGATCCCTCCAGCCACTCACAGTTCTTTGTCTTACTGGTGGCATTTAATTTTAAATTTAGATGAAATAGGAAAGTTAACCAATCAACAGAAAACACTACAAAGGAATTTTGATACACGTTGTAAATTACATGATAATATTGTAATGTAACGGGTAACTGTCCTGTGAATAATCACTTTCAAACATTCACTTAATCACACCGAACTGTATCGAAAGCTACATGACAATTCAGTAAAATACGATGTAAGGTAAATAAATTCAACCATTACAAACAATTAATTTGTTGTCAGGTTTAATTTGTCAGGCTTTAATTTGTTGTCAGGCTAGTAAACTCTTTATTTATGAACCAGACTTAGTTAACAGATGTTTAAATACAAATATAAAATTCCAGCTTTGCTCTGTAAGTAATAAGTCCTGCAGTCTGTGGTTAACCTTAAAAACTATTTCAAACTACGTCCATATGTTATTTTATTTGTAAACAAAAGGAAATGAGTTTGATCTAATATCAACAGATAGCGCCACCTTCCAAACTTTAGCCCTTAAATGTACTTAAGTGGTGCCCTTGCTTAATATTCTGAGACGTATTTGCACATCTACGTGAAAATACCTTTGATTTGACACCTCAAACTTTAAAATCCATCAAGGCGTTATTGAGTTATGACTGTGAAAAGAAAACTGCTTGCGTATTAATATATAGATTATTTTATATTCGTTGATATTTGCTAATTTACTGTTTATTTTTATTACTGTTTCATGAATTTCAGTTAAGATTGCTACGGTTTACTTGCAGCTTTTATAGTACCCTGAAAAGTCGGTTGATTTATGTGTTAATGTTGACAAAAATATTTCACTGTAATTTTTTGCCGTATATAGTAGACTAGGCCTATAAGATTTGCGCTATATTATAATATACAAAAAAATATTACCAGAGAACATGCAATAATTTTGCTCATCCATAAGGATTACATAATAAAATAGTATATTGTGTAAGTAAGACGTAGGCCTATGTCTAGAAATAATTCATTATAATGTTTCATAAATGTCAACCCACTATATGAGCAATAGTGAATAATATACCATATTAAGATAGTCATTGTTTTTGATAAGGAGATTTGCAAGCATAAACAAAAAAAAAATGTCGACATTAGGTACTCGTATAATGAAGTTAATACGATTTAATGATTCTTTTTAAAGTTATAATGAATTTTATGTTATAGTCCAACATTTACCACTAATAAATTAAATATAAGGTGGAGGGAGGGTGGCGGTGACAGCCCGGTGTGCTAGTGCGCATGCGCGTATTCGGCTATGCGAGCTACGCGTAGCTAGCCGGCGTAGCGGCAGCGCCGTAGCTTCCGTAGCTCACGTATTAATACGCCGGTGTGAACACTCTCTATGAATTACATTAAGAGCTACGTCAGCTACGTATTTCGAAAAAGTATTAATACGTCCCGCTACGCCGGTGTGAACAGTCCTTTATAACTTGCTTGTATATGGACATATTTTTAATGACATGTCGAAAATTTGTTTACTTCATACTAAGCTCTTAATATTTCAATAAAAAAACACCTTTTATTGTCTTCCCTGTAGCAGCAAACCTAAGTACTCATAATAATTAATTAATATTTAAATAGGAAATAAATCTGATAATTTTAAGGGAATAATTTTATGGATTTCCAGCCAAGTAGAACAAAATTTGCTTAGTCTGCAGGTTTGCTGGGGTGGGGGTATTTGCTTGTTATTTTGTTCAACCAACATAGTTACTTAGCAACCCATAAGCTCAATGTTAAATTTTTAAGTTTTCAAATGAGTTGTGTAGAGAAATACAAATTATTCTGAGGTAGTGGCTGTCGTCAATCATGTTACTAAGGCTATAAGTCCCTAATTCCAAAATGTAGTCAAAATCCTTCCGCTGGATTTTGAGATAAATATTACAGACACAGAAAGACAAACGGACTATGCCAAATTTTGACAAACAGAGATGTTGATGCCATTCTGTATTCATCTATGTTATAAATCATGAATATAGCATTTCTAAACTAAATCTAACTACAATTACAGTAATATACACGCACCTTCCACTGATCTTTAGGAGGCAGCTTGTTGAACTTCTGGTACTGCTGGATCTTGATTGGATCAATATCTTCCTCCAGTTCCCACGTGCTGTCCTCATACTGCAGGGATCTCCACTTGACCAGGTAGTGTTTGATGGTCTTCCCTGTGTTGGGGTCCGTGTGTTCCGCCATGTCCAGCACTCTGTCTACCTCCACGTAGTCCGGGTTGAACGGGTCTTCTTCCAACTATAAACAGGCAAAAATAGTCAAGAGATTAACTATGCTGTAACTTAAGATTTTAATTTTACAATTGGCTAGTAGGATTGCTAGTTTGTAGTTTACCTGCATTCACATTTGTGTGAATAGGCCTATGCCAAAGGATAAAAGGATAAAAAGGATAAAGTAGTCGATACAATTAGAAACAATATCAAAACAACATCAATACTCCCAGTGCAGCGATAGGAAAACTGCTCACAGCCCAGGTGATTCAATTGTGTAACATACTTATGTACACATGCATGAGCTGATTTTTCAATTGTGAAACAAACTGTAAATAGCAAAATATGCAATGAGTAACCACTAAGTTAACAACAAACCCAAACCTTGACAATATCCAACAGCATTCAAAAGTAGAATGTGAATTTAATATTTTACAATATGAATTTTAAAATGCATAACGATTCATGAACTTATTGACCAAAAAAGTAGGCACAAGCTGGATTTTGTTTCTACACTTTACAGTGGGCAGTTGTTTCTAGAACTAACAACACATACTTACATTCTCAAAGATGTTAGCATGATGAGCCATCTTCTGTTTGAACCGCTTCAGTTTGGAAGCTATTCTCTTGTCTCCTTTGTACAACTCGTCCTCTGTCTTCCACTCACAATGGAGGTATGAGAAGTTGCGATACTTCACATAATACTCTTCCACTTCCACAAACTTGTTATCCGGATCGTTGGGATCCACTAGCTTCTCGTTCACATGGTCTTGATTTTGTTCAAGTGCAGCAGTCTGCTCAATTTCCTCTTTGTGGACGTTTTCTTTCTCTTCGCTTTTGTCACCTTCCACATTCAGAGTTTCTTCTGGTGGCTTTTCGCCTGAATTTGCCGCTTTTAACTTCTGTATATCCTTCAACTCCCTTTTGCCCTTGCGAACGGCAAGTATGTACTGCACCACCATTGAATCCTCATCGGTTGTATTCTGAGAAAGAAGAGCATTTTTAATTTGAACATTTCAAGAGAAAACTGTTACAGATTAAAGGAAAAGGATTAAAGTTATCATCGTGTTACTCAAGCTTGACAAAATAATGTTGAGGTAACTTTTTGATTGAAGGCTAATATTAGCAAATATTACAGCAAAAAGTATGAGCAATTGTTTAAAAAAAACTCTTTACCATTTTATCTTAGACTAATAGAATAAAACATGTTTCCGTCTGAATCAGAATCTGGTAGTTGGACAGATACTGTCTGGAGATGTTTTTTTTTTTAAATCGTCGTAACAAAATAATCAACCTTCTCATTTATGGATTTTGTAAACAATAGAAACTGAACATTCTAATATGCTATCTAAAAAAGTACACTTTTGATTTGTTTCAAACAACAATCTATTATATGAACATTTTTTTTACAATAAACAATTTTAAACGTTTTAGCTATGAACATTGATTTAATGTTGACTTGTACTTACAATATATACAAAGTTAGGCTTGACAGGAGCACCATCAGCAGTAGAGGGAGGGGAGTCTTGTCTAGAAATGTCCAGCTTGGGAGAAGACTTGCCTGACTCCTCATCAGACATGGCCAACATGATGTCATCTACATACTTTTTCCTCTGGGTGTTACGTGCTGACCTTCTCTTCTGCACCACAACAAACTTATTCAGTTACCATCTCACACTACAATTATCTTTTTATACAACATTGCAAAACATTAGGGGTAGGCAAGTATTCAAACTTTAATCTTTTGTTGAACCATTAATTCACTATTCGGCTTGGCTTGAGACTTCAAAAAAAAAGGTTGGGATATGTTTTAGAGCTGAATAATAAACTACCATTGTAGTTAGCAAAAAAGATAAAAATAAATCCTGTATCAACTGTTAGCTTCCATGAAATATTGAATCATTTTTGCTTACATAACCTATTACATGCTCATGATGGTTGGCCACTGGATCGTTAAAATTAGCACTAATAAGGTTTAAATTACCTGGCTACTGTCTCCGAACCTCGGTATAGTTTTAAGAAACTACAGCTGTTTCATGCCTTACATTGGCACATCATCAGGTTTGGTGAACGCCAGCTTTTCTATAAAATATCCCTCGGAGATGAGATCGTTATGGTTTTTCATGTTTTTCGTAAAACCAGAACGATCTCATCTCCGAGGGATATTTTATAGAAAAGCTGGCGTTCACCAAACCTGATGATGTGCCAATGTAAGGCATGAAACAGCTGTAGTTTCTTAAAACTATACCGAGGATCGGAGACAGTAGCCAGGTAATTTAAACCTTATTAGTGCTATTACATGCTGTTGACTCGATATTTAAATCCGACATATTCAAGCAGTTGACTAAATCAACAAACTATGGCACTGTCGCTTTTACTGTGACTTGCTATGTTTACATTTAAAAGAGCAACAGGAGTAAGAGATTCTATTATTACACAAAGCTCCACATGAAGATTGCATCTTACTAATATTATAGATCTGAAAGTTTGTGAGTTTGTGTGTGTGTTGCTCAATAACGCATAAACTACTGGACGGATTGGGCTGAAATTTGGCATGATGATAGCTCACATTCCCGATTAACATTAAAGCATATTCTTATCTCAAAATTCCTTTCGGGCTCCGCCCCAGTGGCTCTGTAGTTCCCCATGTTAACCTTATGATTTTTCATATTTAAAAGGAATTAATGAATCTTAACAGCTGTTTCAATTAAACAAGTTGGTTCTGTTCTATGATGTTCAATAGCATAAAAGTTACAAGGATTACCAACAGGGTGCAGCACTATTATTATTTTTTAATTTATGACAACAGCTAATTTTCAACCAAAAGGTGAGTGAGCGTAGCGAACGAACTTCAACCTGGAGGCGAGTTAGCGTAGCGAACGAGCTAACCTGAAGGCAAGTGAGCGCAGCGAACGAGCTCCAACCTAAAGGTGAGTAGCGAACGAACTTCAACCAGGACGTGAATGAGCCATGCGAATACTTATGAAGTTAAACGGGGCAAAGCCTGTGGGTACAGCTAGTATATTATAAGTATAGATTATGCAAATCGGTTAGTTCATAGCAAATACACAGAACTTGGTATAATATTGACTTATTTAATACATATTCAAATAAATTTACCCACATAAAGTCCATTTTTATCTTTTTTAAATAAGAACACATTTTTGTAAAAACCAGAAATACACGTGTGGTTAAAATTTTGTTTCAAAAGCTCAAAGCTTCAAACTTGTTTGAAAATAGAAAATAATTTAAACCTGAACACTCTTAACTTATATGAATCTTCTAGCTAAGTGACGGTTTAAACTCACATTACTATCTTCCCCGTCAGAAGCCATGATACCGCCATCGTCAGAATCATGAGCTGCAGCTTTGCTCTTCTTTCGTTTCAAGTTGGCATTTGTCCTGGAAGATAAGTTAACGTTTAAAATTTTTTGAATGAGTAATGGTTATCAAAACACTTATCTTTACATTTAAAAAGCTAATTAATAAATTATTCTTAATTGAAGTAAGTGATGATATTAGAATCATTATTTTCCTATCACTGTATGGAAATGATCACTTTGCTACACCTGTAAACAAAAAAACAAATAAATTATTCCCATGTGATTCCAAACCATTCTTGCTAAATCAGCTGATTTCATTCTAATTTAGCGTTGGCGTTTCCAAAAAAGCACCAACATACAAGCAAATAATTTACCCCTAACCTAAAAATCTCTAAATGGCATTTTATACAGGCTACAGCCAGAAAAAAATCTGTATGTTATAAGTTAACTATGGTGGTAGGAAGAATCTTGTGTGTATTACCATTGACAGTCAAAGGTATTACACACAGTCATTGCCGCCCTCTAAATGTTTGGCGAAGCTTTAGTTCTCAAGCGGAATTGACGTATTTTGCGCTCTTAATACACAAATGGCTTTTTTCCTCCTTTTTGTCTTTGGAAGAAATTAATATTTTGTTGGCAGAGGCACACTCTGAGGCTCATTCGACACCTTTTATAAGGCTACAGCTAGTCTATGTAGAACGTCAACTCACTTTGCATTTCGTGCAGGTCTGCCCTTTGACTTCTTCTCCTTCTTGGCTTTCCTCGGCGAAGGAGAAGCCTTGAGAGGCAGTGAACTGTCACTGTCCACATCCCCTACATCTTCCTCCTTCACCGTAGCAGTGTCGTCCTCCTCCTCTTCAACATGTTCCGTCTCATTGTCTGTCTGTTCAGTGTGTTCTGTCTGCTCTTCATTCTCCTTCACTTCATCCACAACCTCCTCCTTTTCTTCCTTCTCCTCCTCTGGTTCTTCTAACGGCATCTCTTGTTCTTCTTCTTCGACCACACTCGGCTGTTCCTCTTCCTCTTCATCTTCTTCGTACTTCTTTTTCTTTGGAGATCTTCTGTGAAAATGAAAAGTGTGTGGAATTTAGTACACCTATAATAGTTTGATTGGCTAAGAATTTCACATGAAGGCAAAAATTTAAAAAATCAAAACCCAAATCTCAAATCCTACAGGTGAAACTTTTTTAGTTACAGTACCTGGTGAAGGTTGCAAAAAATACCGGTAATGATAAAATATTGTTCAATATGAAATCAAAACTAAAAGAGATTGACTCCTGATCCAGATATAATAACTTGAATATGTGACTGATAAATTTCAAACCCAAAACAACATAGCTTTTATAAAAACATAATGTTAAAATTAATTAAACTCCTGACACCAACATAAACATGAATATTAGATTGATTATTAGATTAATTAGAACATTTAGTGGTCAATATTTCTTTGTGATTAAATAAATATCAAAATAAAATTAAATTGTATTCAGCAGTTTCAAAAATAAAAGTGCCAACATTTTGAATTTTGAAACTTTTGAATCTCGAAACTTGTCGATCGAATCTCAAAACCGGAACCCTCCTTAAGTTTTGATGGTTTTGAGATTTGAGATTCGGTTTAGACATGTCACTAAGGGGAATCATTCTTGAGGATGGCAATTATTAAGTTTATAATTATCAAGTTGCATTGATATTTACTAAGAAAGAACTCTTGAACATTATTTTAAATCTTATTTTAAAGGGATGGGCATTTTTACAGTTCACGCCTTATATATTTTTGAAACAATTAAATATTTTTTAAATATTGCTGAGACTCAAGAATTACCTGTGCATAATTATAATACAAGGGGTAAAAATTATTTAGCTAAAGAAAAACCAAGACTGGAACATTTTTAAAAATAAACCTTCTTATATTGGAAACTATTTTTTTTTTTTTAACTTAAAAGACAAATCTAAATTTATGAAAAAACTGAAGGCATTCTTACTTGACCTTGCACCTTACAAAATAGAAGATTATAGTAATTTAAATTTAAAATAATGTAGCCTATAGTATTTTGTTTAAATGTTTCTTATTGCTAATTTAGGTAGTAAGTAACAATAGACACTATTCATGTACGAAAATGTGTACTGTGTGAATAAAGACTCTTTGAATCTTGAATCTTATACTTTTGCGATTCTAAGCCCTTCTAGTAGGATGATACAAAAATAACACTAGCTTTACACACTGTAACTATGCACGTAAAATAAATTTGGCTTCCATCATACCTCTTTCCTTTTTCACTAGCTTCATTAGCAGCCTTGGGCTCACGCTTCTTTCTAGGAGTTTTAGTTTTGGGAGTTTTTGGCGTCTTTATCTTTGGTTCTTTCGGAGGTTTAGGTTCCTTGGGTGTTTTTGGTTCTCTTGGCTTCCTTGGTTTCCTGAAAGAAATCATTTTTATGCTAAACACCTTTCCTTAAAAATGGATTTTTTTTTAATAGAGTTTAGTTAGCTTAACCAAGAGTCCAGAAGAATAGTATCTTTACCTTTAAATTGCATCTAAATCAATCTAATTCAACAATGTTAGTATTTTATTTCACAAAACCGGTTGTTATTATTTAATAATTTAATAAATTTTAATAACATTATTCAATTTTAGTCAGCACATTTAATTTTAACCAAATCAAAATGAAGAACTACTTAAAACATGGTGTCTACTTAACCTGGTTTGAAAAATTCAAGGAGTTTTCCAGGAGAATTCAAGACAAATTCCTGAATTTTAAGGAGCTACTATCGGAACCCGTTTAACTAATTGCAACCCACTAATAAATGAAAATGATTATTATTAGGCTATTATTATTATTAATAATGATTATTATTAATAATGATTATTATTATTTGAAACAAAACATTTCCAAAGAATAATATTTTATACAACATAATAAAACAGTATAACTGGTAGGTAAGGCGACACCAGTTATCATCTCCCGCGATTGTGGGAATATCAGTGAGCATATCTTGCAGTATCTTCAACTCCAGCGACAAAACGTCACTCAGTCAACGATCACGGCAACACCCGTATGCATATTTTGCGGTTTGGGCGACACCGATAACCGTCTCTCGCGATCGCGGCAATACCCGTAGGCATATATTGCGGTTTCGGCAACACCGATAATCGTCTACCGCGATCGCGGCAACACCCGTGGGCATATCTCGTGGTTTCGGCGACACCGATAATCGTCTCTCGCAATCGCGGCAATACCCGTGGTGAGCATATCTTGCGGTTTTAGCAACACCGATAATCGTTTCCCGCGATCGCGGCAACACCCGTAGGCATCTCACGTGGTTTCGGCGACACCGATAATCGTCTCTCACAATCGCGGCAATACCCGTGGGCATATCTTGCGGTTTCGGCAACACCGATAATCGTTTCCCGCGATCGCGGCAACACCCGTAGGCATCTCACGCGTCTCTCGCAATTGCGGCAATACTCGTGAGCATATCTTGCGGTTTCGGCAACACCGATAATCGTCTTCCCGCGATCGCGGCAATACCCGTGAGCATATCTTGCGGTTTTAGCAACACCGATAATCGTTTCCCGCGATCACGGCAACGCCCGTAGGCATCTCACGTGGTTTCGGCGACACCGATAATCGTCTCTCACAATCGCGGCAATACCCGTGGGCATATCTTGCGGTTTCGGCAACACCGATAATCGTTTCCCGCGATCGCGGCAACACCCGTAGGCATCTCACGTGGTTTTAGCAACACCGATAATCGTCTCCCGCGATCGCAGCAATACCCGTGAGCATATCTTGCGGTTTTAGCAACACCGATAATCGTTTCCCGCGATCGCGGCAACACCCGTAGGCATCTCACATGGTTTCGGCGACACCGATAATCGTCTCTCGCGATCACGGCAATACCCGTGAGCATATCTTGCGGTTTCGGCAACACCGATAATCGTTTCCCGCGATCGCGGCAACACCCGTAGGCATCTCACGCGTCTCTCGCAATTGCGGCAATACTCGTGAGCATATCTTGCGGTTTCGGCAACACCGATAATCGTCTTCCCGCGATCGCGGCAATACCCGTGAGCATATCTTGCGGTTTTAGCAACACCGATAATCGTTTCCCGCGATCACGGCAACGCCCGTAGGCATCTCACGTGGTTTCGGCGACACCGATAATCGTCTCTCACAATCGCGGCAATACCCGTGGGCATATCTTGCGGTTTCGGCAACACCGATAATCGTTTCCCGCGATCGCGGCAACACCCGTAGGCATCTCACGTGGTTTTAGCAACACCGATAATCGTCTCCCGCGATCGCAGCAATACCCGTGAGCATATCTTGCGGTTTTAGCAACACCGATAATCGTTTCCCGCGATCGCGGCAACACCCGTAGGCATCTCACGTGGTTTCGGCGACACCGATAATCGTCTCTCGCGATCACGGCAATACCCGTGAGCATATCTTGCGGTTTCGGCGACACCGATAATCGTCCCCCGCGATCGCGGCAACTCCCGTAGGCATATCTCGCACTTTCGGCGACACCGAAAATCGTCTCTCGCGATCGCGGCAATACTCGTGAGCATATCTTGCGGTTTTAGCAACACCGATAATCGTTTCCCGCGATCGTGGCAACAAAAGCGGTAGTGTTTAGGTTAGGCGACGATTCCGATGACTGGGCTCCGGATTCCCGGAGGTTTGGGTGGATTCCTGGAGTTTTCCAGGACATTTCAAGGTAAGATAAAATTCCCGGAGGTTTCCCGGTTTTCCCGAATTTCCCGGAGAGTAGACACCATGTAAAATAACTTTTTTACAATTAACTGCCCTTAGAAATTCAATAGGAACACATTTAAAGCAACATCTACAGCCTGACCGATTACAATTTTTAAGGTTTCTAGTGTTTAGTAAAAAAAATACCTTAAACTCAATATTAGCAACAAAAACATAGAATACTCATTAACAAGGAGAATTCAATAAAAACAAACTTCAAGTACGGTATATTAAATTGATTTTCAAGAATACAATTTTAAATTACCTTGGGGTTTTGCCTTTCTTCAGCCCATCACCATGCAGCGGAGGAGGGGGTTCTTCGTCTTCTGTAAAGTTGAAGACGCTGCTCTCATTATCGGGTGGCAGCACGTTGCAAGGTTCCAACACCGGAGGCCCTTGGTCACTGTCCAACTCCGGAGCTGGCAACTGCGGAGGAAACATATGACCTTCGCCCATGTTTACATTATCTTGTAGCTGAGGTGGGTATATCTCTGGGGGTTGGTCATTGTTCTTCTTCCGACTCTTCCTAGCTCGAGGAGTCCCTGAACCTTTACCTCTTCCTTTTCCTCTTCCTCCGCTCGGCATCTGGAAAACCAATCAAACTTTGTTAGGGGATTGATCGAGTTCACCAACTGAAAGAAGAAAAACCCAAAAACAGTTTATACCGACGGTAAAAAAGACACCACCAAACTGACAAAAAGCATCTGTTGACGAAAAAATTCGAGGGCTGGACTTCTATTTTTATTTGTCAAATACAAGTGATGGAATTGAGTAGAGAATTAGTAGCCTAATAAATACTCGGGTAAATAAACTAATTACAATTGCATGTTCTAATTCATATTATAAAACAAAAGAAATCCTAACTATTCTGCAAAAAAATATTGTTTTTAAAAATTATTCATTTAATTTAATTCTAACAAAAAGTGTATCTCTTACACAAAATAGTTATTTACAAAAATTGTAAAGATAATATTACAAAAATACACATTTGTCTAATGATCAAAACCATATATTCAAAAATAAACTGAACACGTGCAAAAAGAACTAGGGGGAAATAACCACAAATGTCACAGGGTTTGAGGTGTCTAGATCAAGCATTAAAACAAAAGAACTCAATTTGTCACACCAAAAGCTAGGGGAATTGAAATGAAAATAAGATGATTTTTTTCTGAAAAAGGGGGAATGGTTTAATGCTTTGCTGGGCCAAAGTCTTACATGAAGATATGCATCCAAAGGGCCCGCATTATATATTGGACTTTGAAGCAAACACATTGGTCCGCCCATACAATGGTCATTAGCTTCATGCTGTTGCAACATATTGATCCTCTCCTGAAGGTGGGTTATCTGCAATCAACACACAATTAACCAGCCTTTCCCTTACTTCCCCTTTACCTTCTTACAAGTATGCACTATACATCACCAATACAATTGAGAAGACTCTTAGATTTTAAAGGAATATCTTAAACACTTATAAAATAGTTTAACATGTGTTGTTTTTCAAAAATAAAATCCCCTGTCTTGCGTATAGACAACTTGTTGCTTAGGAAATATTTTGTAAATTTATATTTGCTCAGTTAGTATTGTTTCGACTTACCCTCATCTGAACTTCAGGAGTTGGAGGCATACAGTAGGTCTCTTGCAACTGCTGGTTCAATGCAGCCATTTCCTGTTGATGACTGATGGGTGACTGATACATCGGGGGCCTCTGTTCTTGTGGTGGTCCGATGTCAGGCATCATCCCAGGTTGTTCTTGGCCCATCATGTCGTCTGGCTTACCCCCATACTGCATGTTGAAGTTAGTTGGCGGGGGATGAACCATATTTCCAGTGACAGGATCTAGAGTCGAATTAGAAGCCTGATTCTGCGGTATTATCGGCGACTTGTTCATGTCCATGGTAGGAGCCAACGTTTGTTGAACATCACTGGACAACGGCACTTGAGGAACATGGGGTGGTGAAGAAAACTTCTCCTGCACATGAGTAGGTGGAAGGGGTTGTATCTGGCTGGGAGTGAGAGGTTGTGTTTGTGGGGAAGGAGGAGGAACATTGCTGGGTTGTTGAGTCAGTGGTTGTTGTTGTTGGTTTGTAAACTCAGTGTTGCCGACATTAGATTCATTACTTGGTGGTGGTTGATTTTGCATATTCATATCAGGCATTACAACATTCATGTTGCTCTGTGGCACTGACATGGGTAATGACTTGGGAGGATCCATCGCTCGGGACTCCTCTGCCGGCATGTACGGTGGCATGTTCTGCTCCATCAGTCCCATGCCCCCGTTGATGGGTGGTCGTTGTGGTTGAGGAGGCCAATGGGGTGGTGTGGCTTGCGGTCCCCTGTAAGGAGGATAGTCAGTAGAAGTCCCACTGACTGGCGGCATCACCATTTGTTCTAACTGCTGAAGTGTGCTTTGTTGGGGGTAGGACGAGGCAGGTGTGGTGTTTGTTTTTGGAGTCAAAGCTGTCGCAGGCCTAGGTGACAGTGTAGTCTGTTGAGAGTGAGGGTGTGGAGAGAGAGTGGTGGGTTTGGCTGGGGACATGACAGGCCTGGGGGACATCTGAGGTCTGGGAGACATCTGTGGTCGTGGAGACATCTGAGGTGACAGTTGAGGGTACGGCGCCGGGGCTGCAGGAGGAGGCCTGTATTGAGGCTGAGGACTGCCCTGGTTCAGATTCTGAGGAGCCGTCGGAGCAGGAGCTGCCTTCTGAGGGGTAGGACCCAGCCCAGGAGGACCCTGGGGATATTGGTTGGATCCGCTGACTTCAATTCCGATCGGTCTTGTCATTTGTTGCTGTGGGAACCCGGGGTGACTCATCTGGCCCGGCATCCCTTGCATATGATTGTACGGAGCACCAGCTTGATTACTAGCCATGTCCACTTGGTTGGGATATTGTAAATGATGAGGAGGCATTCTCGGGGTCTGTTGATGTACATTGTAACCGGGATATCCCGTATTGCCCGGATATACCATATTCTGCTGTTGCGGATAACAAGGTTGTTGCCTTTGGTAATTGTTATTTGCCGCCATTCCCTGATGAGAGCTCATCATGGGGTTCATCATAGCTTGTTGGCTACCACCGAACTGAGGTCCCATTTTCTGTTGACTGAGCGGGTTTTCTTGTTGATACATGTGTTGTTGCCTGTAAGCATTGGGTGGTGCCATTTGTCCGTAGTGCCTCATCGGGCCGGGCCCAGGATAGGCGTGACCACTGTTCCAGCCTTGTAGTCCTGAGTTGTCAGTCATCCCTTGACTCTGGTCCATGCTGTATATGTTGTCTGTGGGAGCCCCATAAGGTGCATACTGGCCTCCCGTAGGACCCGTGGGTGCTGATGTTCTTCTCATGTCATGTTGCTGAGGCAGCATGGCTCTGCCGTAGCTGCTGCTCGTGTTGGTCGGGACCATCGCTCTCGGTGTGCTGTCGTATCCTCTGTGGTTCTGATGGAACATAGAGGGGTCCGAAGTGAAGTCTCCGCCGAACGATGCCAGCTTCTGTAACGGGCTCTCTTGATGCATCTCCGGCTGGTGCATCTGGTACGGCTGATGCGGGTACTGTGCCGTACTGTTTGCGGGGTTGTCCCTTTGCTGTGACGGGGGCTCAAAGTTGTCAGATCCCAGGTCAGGAAGGCTGTCCAACATGCTCCCTCCCACATCTTCTCCGAATAAGTCGTATGAATCCATTATGCTAAACTACGCTAGACTGTCGAGCTCGAGCGCTCTCAACTTTGAACGCGACATTGCAGTCACGTTACAGTTTAGCGGCTTGTTTCTGAAACAAAACAAGTAAAATGTTAGTGGAAATTATCAACATAATAAATCCAAGCAAAAGCTTAGCATAAACATTGTTTTAATTGACTACTTATACTCTATTTCACGGTCACTGTGTTGTGCAGGTCTTACGGGAGATTGTTATGAGATTACAATTTACTGGAAACATGTTCACGATCATACTGAGTGTTTCAACCATCCTAGCCATCATCATGAGGGTGCAAAATTTGCTTTTGTTATAGCTTAATAATGTTATTTAGACATTGGTACTGTATTTTGAATGATTGAATAGTTTTTTTTTTTGAATTTTGTATGGAAGTAAAAAAAGCCTAAGAAAAAAATAGGAAAATATAATAGTGTTTAACAATAAAATGCAAAGAAATCATTCTCAGTAGACGCTGCTGCCATCTAACGGATTTATTTGGATCTAGACATCAACCTAGCCTAGGCTTATAGAGAAAGTTGTTTTCTGGGACATGGAGCGGTTCTGTATATCTATTAGGGGGTCTATAATAATACGGGGAACAGTTTCGTAATACTAGGCCAATGGGTTATATGTAGTTGTTTGATTCAAATTAATTCTGACAAATAATGTTAGATTTACACGGCTAGAAGTGTTACTTTTGTCAAATATTGGTAGGCTACAAACCTAGGGGCTGAAACACAGAAATTATGTTAAAAATGATTGTAGGCCTAATTTTATCCTGAATTTCAAAAATTTTAAATAAGTTGTCTTAGGACACAATTTTGTTTTCTGATGGTACCCAACAATAACTTGTTATGCTGCAATTTTTTGCTGTTAATAAGTTTTTTCAGTAGATTTGTAACTTTTTAGGAAATCTCCTTGCAGAGCCAAATAGGACTGCCCGCACTGCACCCAACTAATCTCTCTGCTTCAAGTGACAGTGACAACATAGGCCTACTGGTGGCGACATTAGGAACTATTAAGCTCATTGACAAATTGCCTCGCCCCCAAACAGCCTTAAGAAAAAACAGTGAGATAACCACAACTTTACTGTGATTACTTAAGATGACCACGATAGTGTGATAGCGCATTAAAGCGTGGTGACAATCGAGGCTTAAGTTTTATTCCAAAACCTTCACTTCAGGATCAGTAAAGGTCTACTGTATTTTTTGCTAGCTTAACTAATTTTAAATGCATACATAGTTAAATGGTTAATCTTACTAAAAACTGTTTCCTTACTGAATTGCATTACAAGTACAAGAAAAATGTTCAGCCTAACAATATCGTATTGACAAAACCATTAGGCCTATGTAAAAACTTAGGGAAAAACCTAAAATAGTGTTTAAACTTAACCTATTTTGACAACTGTAACTTGAATCAGACAGTCGTATAACAGAAAATTCTTAAATATTTCTTTATGAAAATAATGGTGGTCAAGAATTGAGCAAGTAGGCCTAACATACATCAAGAAAATAGTTTTGAAAGATGATAAAAATACTTAAGTATCAACTTGCTTGAACCATGTAGAACTATGCACATACAATAGTAGCAAATAACCTAATGTTGAGCATACAGGAGCCAGTTTGGATTAGATTATTAAGTTGTGGAATAACTATGAGATCAATGAAGAAAGTGGAACAGATAAATATGGTTTTGCAGATTTCACTACACTCTATATGATACCTATAAAATGTTTTCTGGCTATGTTGTACTTGACGGTATTCACTGTGCACAAACAGTTAGGAAACAAAAGGTACACTGTTAAACGTAATTGCAATGCGATACTGCAGTTCTATTCTTATATGTGCATAAAAGTGCTTAGGAGCACATTTGTACCAGAGTCCCCCTTTCTTGATGGACTAAAAATAAATATGCTGAGTGCTGACTCAACCTTTTAACTGCATCACAGTTCCCTACATCAGAGTAGGCCTATAATTCACTAAGGCTGTCTAAATTATATTCCATCTACCTTTTAAACTACTCTTATTTTTTTAGGCTGATACAGACTAGGCTACAAGGCAAAAACTATTTAAACAAAAGTTCACCTTTTTTTTATTTAACATTAATGTAGGCTATAGACACACACACACATATATGTGCTTTGTTAATGTTTCAATGATTAAATACAATATTTTCCAATTAAAGGGTTGTTTCTACAAAACATTTAATTACTTCTCAGAACTATTTAGACCTAAACATCTTATTAAAATGCAAGGTGCCAAACTTTAAGGGGGGTAAAACGTGTCACGATTAAATAAACACCAGAACTTGCCAGTCTTCCATCCACACTACCCTACTCTTAGGCCTATGTGTTGGCCATAGCTTGGGCTATGGGCCAAAGAACGTAGGCCTTGTATTAAACACAGTGAAGTATATACACACACTCACACAATTTATTAATAATAGCATTCTAATAAAGTTAAACCCACCGATTTTACAAATATTTAAGGCCAACGACAACCTGACATAACCTCAAGACTGGTGTTTGTTGACAGAGAACGGACGAAACTACTAGACCGGCTCAACAAGTGAATTTTCAATCAGCTGTTGTCTAGTAGTACTTAAGTTCGTTGCTAGAGCGTGTAAGCCTCGACCAGACTGGAATGAAGGATTTTACTTAAAGACAGATTATTTGTTCGTATGACGACTTCGTCGTTACACTCGTCCGTTATCTACACTCTTGCATAATAATCGATAGTTCGTTTACTGAAGGTTAGCCACACTAGTTCTAAGGCCCTTTTATTTATTTTCATTCAACACACTCAGTCTCGTTTCTTCATCGTTCTTCACATTGGCTAAGATAGAATACTTGTCGGGCCTACAGAGTAAATCTTAAAGTTAGGCAAAATTTACCTCAACACTTAAACGAAGGTGGGGATGAAATAGCTCCTACTGTGCATCTGCAAGATTTCCTGAGCGCTTCTAGAGCTTTGAGCCTTCGATGAAATTTAATAAATTGATCAGTCAAAGCTGTGAATAACTTCCTACTGACCTCTGGATTTTTCTCGGCTCCTTCTGAGCACTCCGGGGAAGAAATTTGAGTATGGCTGGTTCTAGGGGTCGGCCTAACCTGAATTTAGTGTGAATACTAGTTTATTCCCTCCATAGAATTTTGCATCACAAAAAGGACTCACCTACTCTGGATTTTCAGGTTTCTGTCATCTTTAATGGCTTTAGTGAATTTACCTATGGAGAAGTAGCTATTACTGTAAGTCGCATGGTAAGACCTAGACCCGGGTTGATGTGCCTAGAGGCCAACAAATTTATTCGTTCAAATTTGTATATATAGGCCTAAGTCCGGGAACACAATAACTTGAGTACCTTATCAATTCATGCCTTCATGCCTTATCAATAGTATTTTGAAATATTAAAGAAACTATATCTATACTAAAAAAATGTTAAACAAATAATTTAGCATTAAAGACAGCAGGCAAAACTAATATGATTATCAAAGCATCAAGGACTAAAAAATGTAATAGCAAATACAGTATAGTTATGTTTCATTGCATATCTGACTCTACTCTACAAAAATATCAACAAACAACTTAATATACAAACCAGTTCTTTTAATCAGTTCCATTGTCCATTGCCTATACATTTTCACTCTTACCATTAAGTAAACATAGTAACATATTTCATTGATTTTTGAAAAAAAAGAACACTGTGTACTGCTTAGTTTTATATTTTCCTTGGTTTAATTTAATCAGTGGTGTGGCAAAACACAAATAATGAATTTATCTAATAAAGTAAATGTGAACTTAAAGTTATGTTAAGATAAAATAGGAGTATTTTGTATTACCATTTGATAATTAAATATAGTTACACATATACAACAGATTTTAGAACACAAAAATCAACGACGTACAATTTAGTTACAGTAGAGTCCCGCAAACTCGGCGTAATGTGGACTGGAAGGGTGCCGAGTTTGTGAAATGCCGGGTTATTGAGAACTAGAGTTAAAAATGAGGACAATACAATTTTTGAGCTTTTTAACCGCTTTTTTTAATTATATTTATATTACAAGTCAGTATTAAGTCATAAAATATAGTACAACAAATCCTTAGTACGAGTTGCAAATGATTATACTTGAGCTGGCTTGTGTCCATGTTTAACTCGGACTCAAAAAATCACTAATTATCTGACCAGGTGATTGCCGAGTAATCCAGACTGCCGGGTTATCGAGTGCCGAGTTTGCGGGACTCTACTGTATTGATGATATTCTTTAGTTTAATTTAAGCATAGGAGGTTTAGCAAAACACACAAACTAAATTTACCTAAATATACATAAAAAAAACAGTGATGTGCAAGTTATGTTAAGTTAATCCAACACATGTTAAGCAGTTCAAATTTATTTACCTACAGTAGCCTCGAAATTCATACTAAACATCTATACATTGTAATTGTCTTACTGTTTTAATGAAAATATATCAATAACATTATTTTCATAAACACTTAAGACAGTTTAAGAATCGAAAGCAGCTGAGTTGATACAGCAACGCTTAGAATATTTTTTTATTTCTATAATCATTAATGTTTTTGAATAAATGATCTTTAATAAATTTTTTTATTAAATAAACCAACCACACAATTGTGTGAAATATGCGATTTGGCAGTTCTTCTTGTTTACATTGAAATGTCAAAGCAAATGTAAACATTGTGAGTATTCTTATTGCAGCCATGGAGACCAATCAATATTTACTTTTAAAATCCTCACCTCAGAACTTTTAAAGCCAAAGGGGCAAAGCCCGCGGTCAGTATCAAAGTGTGAATAGTCCTATAATGGTCCTTGGTATGGTAGCTATATTTTTGTAAAATTTAAGCCCAGTTGGTTGAGTAGTTTTTGCACCTATTAGTAATACACATACAGACAGAAACCATTAGATTTTTATATAATAGTAAGTATATAGAAGTATAGATATCTTAATGTAACTTACTTAGCCATTAGGCTACTTCCTTAAGTTAGTCACATTTTCATAAGATCATCAAAGTAATGTATAAATATATTCACAAACATCACAAACCACAGCAAAAATTCA